CCAGCATCTGCTGTTCCTACTATCACTGAACTTAGAAAGTGCTTTAATCATTTATCGGGCCTATAAAGCTATAACACTATTCAGAAAGGGGAGAATTATGTGGATCAGCCTCCTTCTGGAATGTTTATTTTTTATTCGTTTGCAAGATGTGGATGTCACTGGCTGGGCCCAGCATTTATTGCCCGTGCCTAGTTGCCCTTGAGAAGGTGGTGTTGAGCTGCCTTCTTGAACCGCTGCAGTTCACCTGCTGTGGGTAGACTCACCATGCCCTTAGGGAGGGAATTCCAGGATTTTGACCCAGCGACAGTGAAGGAATGGTAATATATTTCCAACTCAGGGTGGTGAGTGGCTGGCAGGGGTGAACTTGCAGGGGCTAGTGTTCCCATGTATCTGCTGCCCCTTGTCCTTCTCGATGGAAACAGCCGTGGGTTTGTCAGGTGCTGTCTGAGGATCTTTGGTGGAGAGGCACACGTGAAAATCTGCAGCATGAAGGAAAATTTGGAGGAAAACGTGGCTGATCTAGTCAGTATGTTTGCAGACAATACAAAGATTGATGGAGTTGTGGATAATGAGGTTTGTCAGAGGATACAGCAGGATATAGATCAGTTGGAGGCATGGGCAGGAAAAAGGCAGATAGAGTTTAATCCAGACAAATGTGAGGTGATGCATTTTGGAAGGTCAAGTACGGCTGGAAAGTATGCAGAGAATGGCAGAACTCCTAAGAGTATTGATATGCAGAGGGATCTGGGTGTCACAGATCACCGAAGGTGGCAGCACAGGTAGTTAAGGTAGTTGAAAAAAAGGCCCATGGCATGCTTGCCTTCATTGGAAGGGGCATTGAGTATAAGGATATAAAAGTTATGCTGCAGCTTTATAAAACATTAGTTTGGCCACACTTGGAATATTGCGCACAGTTCTGGTCACTACACTACCAGAAGGATGTGGATACTTTGGAGAGGGTACAGAAAAGGTTTACCAGGATGTTGTCATGTATGGGGGATTCTAGCTATGAAGAAAGATTGGCTAGACTGGGTTTGTTTTCACTGGAACGCAGAAGGTTAAGGGGCGACCGAATAGAAGTTTATAAGATTGTGAATGGCATGGAAAGAGTGGAAAGTATAAGGCTTTTTCCAAGGGTGGAGGGGTCAATTATTAAGGGGCACAGGCTCAAGGCGCAGCTAGGATTGGGGGGAGGAGTTTAAAAGAGCTGTGCAAGGCTAGTTTTTCACACAAAGGGTGGTGAGTGCCTGCAACATGCTGCCAGAGGAGGTGGTGGAAGCAGACACAATAGCAGCTTTCAGGAAGCACCTGGACAAGTACATGAACAGGAAGGGAATAGAGGGATACGGATCTTGTAAGTGAAGACAGTTTTAGTATGGAGAGGCAAAATGTGTCAGCACAGGCATGGAGGGCAGAAGGGCCTGTTCCTCTGCTGTATTTTTCTTTGTTCTCAAACCCTGAAACAAGTGGGATTGTGGGAGGAGAATTCCAGTGCACCATCGAACCCCTCTGTGCTGCAAACTCATAGTGGGGAGATTCCAATGCTCAAGATGCCTGTCACCATCCAGGAAGAAGCAACATGCTTGATGGGCACACCCCCACCCACGTCCAACCGTCGCTGCTTCCTGCATTGAGACACAGTGCCATCATTGTATACCATCTGCGCAGTGCACTGTGACAACTCACCACTGTTCCTTAACTAGAACATTATAAACACAAAATTTCTATTATCTAGAAAGTCAAGGGCAGCAGATGCATAGGAGCACCAGGTTTCTGTGCAAGGGAAACGTCGCCACTAATGGAACCATCATCAAACTGTGCTCACCACTCCTTCACTGTCACTGCATCAATATCCTGGGACTCACTCTCCAAAAGGACTGTGGGTATTTTGTTTTTAAATTGTTCACGTGTGGGAGAAGGGCTTCATTGTCTAGGCCAAAATTTATTGCCCAGAAGGCAGTTAAGAGTCAATCACATTGTTAGGGGGGTCTGGAATTGCATGTAGGCCAGACCAAGTAAGGATTGCAGTTTCCTTCCCTAAAGGGCAGCAGTAAACCAATAGGGTTTCCCCCCCAGTAATCACCAGCAGATTCACAGTCATCATTAGACTCTTAATTCCAAATTTTTTGTTGAATTCAAATTTTCCATGGCAGGATTTGAACCCAGGTACTACCAGAACGTTAATTAGGTCTTGGGATTAATAGTCCAGTGAAAAGACCACTTGGCCATCACTTCCCCCATAACCACACCCTGTGGGCTACAGCATTTCAAAGTGGCACTCACCATCACCTCAATTAGGGGACGAGCAATAAATTCTTGTCTCGCCAACGACATCCACATACCCTGAATGTATTACAAAAACAACATTGTGGAGAGAGCCCATTCAGATAATTCAATTTCCTCAAAACTACAGCGTTAAAAGTGGAAGAGATTTGATCAAGAATTGTGTTAAAGCTGTTGGAAGATGGGATTTAAATAGATGGGAAAGGGCCTTCTAAGGCTCAATTGAAGTTCATTTCTAACTTTAGAAATTTATTCTGCTGTTAATTTGCTGTTAATCTTTACTGTATGCAGTTCTGAAATCCACATTATAGGACGGATGTGATAGAAGAGGAGATTTAGCAGCTAGTTGCTTGGGCTTTAGTTTTGGAGAGATTGGACAGACTAGGATTGTTTTTCGTAGAACAGAGGAGATTGAGAGGGAACATGATTGAGATGTATAAAATTATGAGGAGCACAGGTAGTGCAGACAGGAAGAGACGTTTCCCTTTGATGGAGATATCAATTACTGGGATTAGGGATGGGGTGCATAATTTGAGGTAAAGGGCAGAAGGCTCAGAGGAGACGTGAGGAAAAATCTTTTCAATCAGAGAATGGTGGGAATCTGAACTCACTGCCTGTAAATGGGACAGAAGCAGAAACCTTCATTGGCAAGTTATGTTGAGGTTGTGTAGAACATTGGTCAGGCCTCTTCTGGAGAACTGTGTCCAGTTCTGGTCATCCAGTTATAGGAAGGATATTATTAAGCTAGAGAGGGTTCAGAAAGATTTACCAGTATTTTGCTGGGAATTCAGGGTTTGAGTTATAAGGACAGGCTGGATAGGATGGGACTTTTTTCACTGCAACATAGGAGGTTTGAGAGGTGACATTATTAGAGGCTTATAAAATCATGAGGGCTATAGATAGGGTTAATGGTAGGTATCTTTCCCGAGGATGTGGTATTTCAAGAGTAGGGGGCACATTTTTAAGGTGAGAGGAGAGAGATTTGAAAAAGACATGAGGCACAATTTTTTTACACAGAGAGTGTTTTGTGAGTGGAATGAACTTGCAGAGGAAGTGGTGGATACGAGCACAGTTGCGACGTTTAAAAGACACTTAGATAAGTACATGAATAATAAAGGTTTGGAGGGATATGGGCCAAGCGCAGGCAGGTGGGATTAGTTTAGTTTGGGATTATGTTCGGCGTGGACTGGTTGGACTAAAGGGTCTGTTCTCTGTCTCTAAGTGTTTAGGTGTGCATTTGCAACGCCAAGGCTTACAAGGCTATGGGATTAGAATACTTAGGTGGTTATTTATGAAGATGGACCAAAGGGGCTCTTTCTGCCCATACTTAGAACCAGAAAAGAAATATGTGAATTTTGATATCTGCATCATTTGATCAATCGTTTAATACCTTGTCCCCATTAATGAAATTGTAATTTGATTAAAACTGATTTTTAAATTCAATAATATTGCTATTCCATGGCGGTGCAGTGACCCACCATTCCCTAGGACAGGGAACCTACTTTATCCAAGCCACACGACGCTCCCTTTCTGCGCAGGCGTCATTTGGTTCTGACATGCGCATTGTGGGCTGTATTATGAGCATGCGCCGTGAGGATGTAGTTCCACTTGGCACATGCGCGGTGTTCGGTGCTGCGGGTCCGGGATTCACACATTTCGGCTCCGTGCCTGGAGAGAGCACAGACGGCTATAGGGAAGTAATGGAGGCGGCGGAGTGGGTGGGGAGGTTTTACGAACGCGCAGTGGAGGCCTCAAACACAGAATAAGCCGCTTCCGGTCCCGTTCTAGCGGCAGAGCGAGCAGCAGCCGCGTGTCCCGCTGCAGCGCCCCCCCACCTCCCCCCGTCCCCCTCGTGGGAGCGAGGCTCCGTGGTCGCCATCTTTGTAGGGGGCAATGGGTGGCAGGGCGCATGCCTGGTTCCACCTGGGCTCCTGGACTGAGAAACGTTGGTTGAATTGGAAAGTTGGAAAATCCCCTCTCCCACCTTTCTCTCTGCTGCTCACCCAGGATGCCCAATTGGACCCAGAACTGGGTCCCTGAAAGGGAATTAGTGAAGCTGTTGGGATTTTTTTCACGAAAAAGATAAAAGAACTGCAGATGCTGTAAATCTGAAACAGAAATTGCTGGATAAGGTCTGCAGATCTAACAGCGCCCGTGAAGAGAAGGCAGGGTTAATGTTTCGGGTCCAGAAACGTTTTTATGACACTCTGGCAGCTTTCACGTGAACCTTTTTCCTTTGCTGGTTTCGGCAAATTGTGAGTCGTTCAGCTCAATTCCACAAGCCGCCTTCATTTTAATTTCCGGGCTCACTCTCATTATTTGTCTTTTCAATTATTTTAAATCAATTTTATAGGGGCTTGGAAAGAGTGGGGATCTCAAACTGTCACTTTAAGATCTGACTGGGTCGCTGAATTTTATCACGACCTGCACATCTTGGGACTTTGAACATGGAAGGGAGAAGTGCCAGCCATGGCGGAGGGAAACCACACGCGTGTCCTGTGTGCGGCCGAGCCTTCAGGTGGTTGTCCAGCCTCTTGAAACACAAGCACAGCCACGCAGGGGAGAAACTGTGGAAGTGTGGGGACGGCCAGGAGGTATTTAGCTACCTGTCCGAGCTGGAAAAACACCAACGAGGTCACAGCAAGGAAAGGCCTTTTGTCTGCTCCACGTGTGGGAAGGGATTCTCTCAGTCGTCCACGCTGCTGACGCACCAGAGGGTACACACCGACGAGAGACCTTTTAAGTGCCCGGACTGTGGGATGTGCTTCAAAATTTCTTGGGAACTGATGCGCCATCAAGGGGTTCACACCAACCAGAAGCCATTCAAGTGCTCTCACTGCGGGGCTGGTTTCAGGCGATCGTCTGACCTCAGGATCCACCAGCGGGTTCACACTGGGGAGAGGCCGTTCCCCTGCTCGGTGTGCGGGAAGGGATTCACTCGCTCGTCCACCCTGCTGACCCACCAGCGGGTCCACACCAAGGAGAGACCTTTCAAATGCCCGGACTGCGGGAAGGGCCACATAACGTCCACCGAGCTGATGTCTCACCAGCGGGTTCACTCCGAGGAGAGGCCGTTCCGGTGCTCTCACTGCGGGAAGGGATTCAGGTGGTCGTCTGAGCTCACTGTCCACCTCCGGGTTCACACCGGGGAGAGGCCGTTCACCTGCTCCGTGTGCGGGAAGAGATTCACTCAGTCGTGCCACCTCGTGACGCACCAGCGGGTCCACACCAACCGGAGACCTTTCGAGTGCCCGCAATGTGGGCAGCGCTTCAAAAGTTCTGGGGATCTGATGTCCCATCGGCACGTCCACACCGACGCGAGGCCTTTCGAGTGCCCAGCCTGCGGGAAGCGCTTCAAAAGTTCCCGGGATCTGATGCGCCACCAGCGCATTCACACCGAGGAGAGACCTTTCAAGTGCTCTCTCTGTGGGCTCGGCTTCAAGTGGTCGTCCGATCTCACGGTCCACCGGCGGGTCCACACCGGGGAGAGGCCGTTCCCCTGCTCCCAGTGCGGGAAGGGGTTCGCCACCAACTCCAACCTGCTGAAACACCGACGGGTCCACACCGGGGAGAGGCCGTTCCTTTGCTCCGTGTGCGGGAAAAGGTTCGCCACCAAATCCAACCTGCTGGCCCACCGGCGGGTCCACACCGGGGAGAGGCTGTTCGCCTGCTCCGAGTGCGGGAAGGAATTCACGACCTTATCCACCCTGCTGACCCACCGGCGGGTTCACACCGGGGAGAGGCCGTTTAGCTGCTCCGTGTGCGGGAGGAGATTCACACAGTCAGGTCATCTGTTCCGACACCAGCAGGTTCACAAGTGACTGCATTGGGGGCTGAATTGTGGCCGTTAATGCCACCGGAATGCAAAGGTCTTCATCGGAGTCTATTTCTGCTAATAACCCCCAGCCCAGATCGAGGCGTTAATACTTGGGATAAAAGTCAAATTGATCAGCCACGTGTTCAGTACACAGATCTTTTTTACCATTTCGTACGCTTGCCTTTATTGGTCAGTGCATCGAGTAGTTGGGAGGGTCATGTTGCGGCTGTAGGTTAGGCCACTATTGGAATACTGTGTTCCCTTCTGGTCTCCCTGCTATAGGAAAGATGTTGTTAAACTTGAAGGGATGCAGAAAAGATGTTGTCGGAGTTGTAGGGTTTGAGCTGTACTGCACGGAAACAGACCCTTCGGTCCAACTTGTCCGTGCCGACCACATATCCTGAATTAATCTAGCCCCGTTTGCCTGCATTTGGCCCATATCGCTCTAAACCCTTCCTATTCATGTACGCGTCCAGGGGAGAGGCTGGAGCTACTTTCTCTGGAGCATTGGAGGCTGAGGGGTGATCTTGTAGAGGTTTATAAAATCATGAGGGGCATGGGTAGGTGAACTCCTGTACTCAATGCTCTGACCAATGCTGTCTCCAACCAAAGTTGTTACCATTTGCCATGCGGCTCACTGTCAAAGGATTTGCCAATTGAAACTCCCCTTGGGGTATTTTTACGACTCTACCACGTAAACAACTTGTATTTCAACAATGGGTTGACTGTTTCACAGCAGCCAGTTTGAGTCTGATTCCACAAATAGCAATGAGATGGGTGGCTGATAAATCCAGCTTTTGTTTTGTTGTTATTGTTGGTCTTAGTTGAAATACCATTGCTGGTTCCAATGTACCAGAGGACAGTGTGAGGTCTCGAGATGGGAGTGGAGCTGATTTAGATGGTGGCTTTGAGGGGAAAATTCAATCACTCTCGGAATAAAACTTCCTGAGTGAGCGAAAAGGACCACAGGAAGCCACCTTAGAAGTAGCTATTTCTTGAGAGTAACCACTTAATTAATATTGTTGCAGTGACAGTAAACTAGCAACAGAGGATTTTTTAGTGGACATCATGTTGTGGCTGTACAGCACATTGGTGAGGCCACTGTTGGAATATTGCATTCAATTCTGGTCTCCCTGGTATAGGAATGATGTTGTGAAACTTGAATGGGTGCAGAAAACAGGTTGCCGGGGTTGGAGTGTTTGAGCTATAGAGTTGTCCTGCACAGAAACAGACCCTTCAGTCCGATGCATCCACGCCGACCAGATATCCTAAATTAATCTAGTCCCATTTGCCAGCATTTAGCCCACATCCCTCTAAACCTTTCCTATTCATGTACCCATCTAGATGCCATTTAAATGTTGCAATTGTACCAGCCTCCACCACTTCCTCTGGCAGCTTAATCCACACACACACCTTCTGCGGGAAAAAGTTGCCCCTTAGGTACCTTTTACAATTTCCCCTGTCACCTTAAACCTATGCCCTCTAGTTTTGGTGGACTCTCCTACCCTGAGAAAAAGACCTCAGCTATTAATCTTATCCATACCTTTCATAATTGGTCCAAAGGGTCTGTTTCCATACTGTACAACTCTATGACTCTATAACTGAAATTTATTGTAATTGAAGTCATTAGGTGAATCAACGGTTAATTAAAAAAAAAGCTTGGTTAAGCTTGTCTAAAAAAAGTCCTTTTAAAAATGTCTGTGACACTACAACTTTGCAAAATGATAAATGTCTGTTAAGTTCATCAATCTCTAACTCCAACAGAGTTGCAATGTATTTGGAATAAAGAATGTGTAGGTTAGTTTTGATAAAAGGCAAGTGGTTTCTGTATTGTGTTTGGATTTCAGACTGGTTGTTCATTGTTTTTGTGAGGGATTTAGAGAAAAACGAGATCAGGGAGAGTCCTTTCAGGGCAGTCACTTAATTCAGAAAGTGGTCACAAAGCAAACCCCCTGGAGTGTTAATGGAAAATTGTTGAGACTGTAGGGTTTAAGACTGGGGGAGTTAAAAATTGAAAGGCATAGGTTTGCTTCAAACTTGAAATAAATCAGATTTGATTTTAAATTTGGAAATATCCAGAGAAGGAAAAAGAAAATTGGGTCAGTTTTGAAGGAGACCTGACAGGGGTCAGAAGCAAATATAATTCCTTTCAAATACAGAAGCACAGGACGGTTTGCAGACAGCACAGTTAAGCTGGTGTGAAGGTTTGCTTGTAAAACTTACTCCAGACCTGGAGTGTTTGATGAGAAATTGCCATGTTATTTAGAGTCTGACAAAATCTAAGCTTTCAGTTTTGTGAATATTTGTGATTCAGTGGACAGAAACAGATAAGTTGATCTTGAAGATTTGATACAGAACAGATATTTCTATGAATCTGAAGCACTGGGAGGTGGTGGTTTTGGGGAATAGATTAGACTTTGTTTCACTGTATGTTTTTAAGATTTTTTGAACTGTGATCCATATTTAGATAATCTGATTTGTTTCATTGTATTCCTTTTTATACAATAAACTTCTGTTTTATTGTTTAAGAAAACCTACAGCCTTGTGCGGTTATGTTTCAGTGAATGACCACTGAGTTAAATAAAAGGAAAAATATGTGATCCATCAAGCAGGACTTTATTCTGGAGTCTGCCTTGTCCAATCATAATTCATAACCAATGTAACTAGCCAGGAAGACAGATAATTCACTAAAAGTTAAATTTTACTTATGTAACTAGCCAGGAAGACAGATAATTCACTAAAAGTTAAATTTTACTTATGTAACTAGCAATGTAACTAGCCAGGAAGATAGATAATTCACGAAAAGTTAAATTTTACTTATTTATCTGTTTGAATATAGTCGTAGAGTTATACAATATGGAAATAGACCCTTCGGTCCAACCAGTCCATGCCGAACATAATGTCAAACTAAACTAGTCCCACCTGTCTGCTCCTGGTCCATATCCCCCCAAACTTTTCCTATTCATGTACTTATCCAAATGTCTTTTAAACATTGTAATTGAACCCACGTCCACCACTTCCTCTGGATGTTCATTCCACACCTGACCACACCCTTGTGTAAAACAAAAAAATTGCCCCATGTCTTTTTCAAATCTGTCTCCTCTCACCTTAAAAATGTGCCTCTTAGCCTTGAAATCCCCCACCTTATGGAAAAGACAACTACCATTAACTCTATCTATATCCCTTATTATGCCATGAGCTTTTGCCACTGCAGCCATTTGGATGCATGTTGAGTGACCGCCATGCTCACGGCCTTGCCGCAGTGTCCTGCTCTAGACAGCGAAGAAGCCGCGATGCTGCCGACTGCGATGAGCCGTCACGTAGCCACCAGTCAAAGTCCCAGTGGCGCTGCAGTTGCTGCCGCAGCCTCCATGCCTGAGATAATTAGAGAAAGCCAAAAAAAAACTGGCGGGACAGTGGCTCAGTGGTTAGCACTGCCTCACAGCGCCAGGGACTCGGATTCGATTCCACCCTTGGGCAACTGTCTGTGTGGAGTTTGCACGTTCTCCTCCTGTGTCTGCGCAGATTTCCTCCGCATGCTTCCGTTTCCTCCCACAGTCAAAAAATGTGCAGGTTAGATGGATTGGGCATGCTAAATTGCCCCATAGTGTTCAGGGATGTGTAGATTAGGTGGATTATAGAGGGATGGGTCTGGGTGAGATGCAGTGAGGGTCAGTGAAGGGCCTGTTTCCACACTGTAAGGATCCTATGAAACTAAAAAGGAAGGAAAGGGGGAAAAATAATAGTGAGAAAAGGAGAAGGAAAAGCAGTTGGAGCAGATGTGCTCTACACTGCCGCCATCTTGGTTGCGTTGTAGTTACTCATGAACTCGCTGCTGCTTCAGCAGGTGGGAGGACTGAATGAACCCCTTCCCACAACACCAAGCAGATGAAAACAGCCTCTACATGGTATGAACCCCCTGGTGCACAGTGAGCTGAGTCAATCACCTGAACCCAGTCTCGCACTGAGAGCGCGCGAGCAGTTTCTCCTCTGTGCAAGCCCACTGATGGCACATCAGCTCACTGGAGGTATTGTGGCAGCTCCCGCAACCCGGGCATTTATAGGGTCTCTCTGTGGAGTGAATTCGCTGGTGTCCCTGCAGGCTGGCTAACCGAGTGAATCCCATCTCGCACTCGGGTGAACGGCCTCTCACCAAGTGTGAATCCGCTAGTGCGCTGTGAGGTTCGATGCCCACCTGAATCTAATCCTGCAGTGAGGGCATTCGAGTGGTCCGTCATCAGTGTGAACAGGTCAATGGGTCGCTGGAGGTTCTACAGCACTTCCCACAGTCTGAACACTTGAAAGGTCTCTCGTCAATGCAAACCCATTAATGGGTTATCAATTCACTGGAACTTTTATAGCATTTCCCGCAGTCCAGGCATTTGAAAGGTCTCAGTGTGAGCACGCTGATGACGCAACAGTCCTCAGGAGCTTTTAAAGCACTTCTCACAGGCCTGGAATTTGAAATGTCTCTCTTAGGTGTGAGCCTGCTGGTGTTTCAGTAGGTTAGCTGACTGAGTGACTCCCTTCCTGCACTCAGGGCAGGTAAATGGCTTCTCCCCAGTGTGACTGCATTGATGATCTGTACCCCTTACCACAGTCTCCACATTTCCATGCTTTCCCCTCCCTGTGACTGTGTTTGTGTCTTGACAGGCCAGGTAATTGACTAAAGCCACGTCCACACAAAGAACGTAGGTACAGCTTCTCTCTGCTGTGGATAGTGCTTTCTGCTTCCATGTTCAAAATCCGATGATCCACAGGTCGTCAGAAATGAGATGACTTTGTCAGATCCTAATGCGATGTTTGGTTTGAATTTCTGACAACCAGTGAAATGTATGTAAAACAGAAAAGAGAACCCAGAGAGGCAAGTTGTTTTTCTTTTCCTTTATTCATTCATGGGATGAGAGTGTTGCTGGCCAGGCAGCATTTATTGCCCATCCCTAATTGCCCAGAGGGTAGTTAAGAATCAACCACATTGCTGTGGGTCTGGAGTCACGTGTGGGCCAGACCAGGTAAAGATGGCAGTTTCCTTCCCTAAAGGACAGTAGTGAACCAGATGGGTTTTTCAGACAGTCGTCATTAGATTCTTTTAAAATCCAGATATTTATTGAATTCAAATTCCACCATCTGCCATGGCAGGATTTGAACCTGGGTCCCTAGAATTTTGTCTTGGTCTCTGGATTAATAGTCCAGCAATGATACCACTAGGCCATCACCTCCTCATGTTGCCATATTGTGAAATTGTATCTGGCTATTTATGGGGCTGGCATCAGGAAAATTGACCATTAAAGCTGCTGGATTATCATAAAAACCTCAACTGGTTCACTAATGTCCTTCAGTGTGGGGAATCTTCCGCTTGATCCGGACCTAGGTACAGAAGGTTTGAGTTATGAAGAAAGGCTGGATAGGCTGGGAATTTTTTCACTGGAGCGGAGGAGGTTGCAAAGTTTATAAAATCATGAAGGGTATAGATAGGATTAATGATATTTGTCTTTTCCCTAGGCTGGGGGCTTTCAAGACAAGGGGCACATTTTTAAGGCAAGAGGAGAGACATTTAAAAATGACATAAGGGGCAAATTTTTTTTGACACAGAGGTGGTTTGTGTATGAAATGAATTTACTGAGAAAGTAGTGGACATGGACATAGTTACAACATTTAAAAGGCATTTGGATAAGTACATAATTAAGAAAGGTTTGGAGGGATATGGGCCAGGAGCAGGCAGTTTGGGATTATGTTCAGCGTGGACTGGTTGGACCGTACGGTCTATTTCTGTGCTGTGTGGCTCTGTAAGGGGAAAAGAGTTAGGTGCAAGAAGGATTTTATGGATGTCAATGTTCTGGATCAATCTCCCCAACCTTCTCCCTTGAAGGACCAAGGTTGCAGATATACGTGAATACCATCATGTCCAAATTCTCATCCAGGTCATGCACGACCATATCTGTCGTCCAGTACCAGAGAAGCAGAAATCTCTTCCATTAAAATATTGGGAAACCTGAAGCATGTCCCCAGTCCCTGCTTCAAACTCCCATCCCATTGCCACCAAGTCCCAATTCTAACAATGCTTTAATCTTTTAGAAAAAACCCAATCCCTGTTTTCAAATTATTCCATGGTCTTCCCCTCTCCACATGTTCCACATTTCCCCACCCACCAGACAAACCTTAATCCTTCTTTCAATCAAATATTAATTATCGTATTCATTTGGCTGGAAGGAAATTGAATTGCAAAGTGGCCTCCCCTTCCCCCCAGACCATAACTTGGAGGACAGCGCAGCCGCAGTGCAGGCTCCTCTCAAAAAAAAGGGGCAGAAGAGTGGGAGAGAATGTCCAGAGCAGGCGCAGTGCGGCTGCCTTTAGTGGGCGGGGCTCGATCTGTCTCTGGAGGAGCAGCCGCTGGAGAAAGGGGGCGTGGCAGCTCCCCGAGCGGCTTCTCGCGCCGGCCCGAGCCGGTTGCCCTGGAAACGTTGGCTCGCGGCTGGGGGACAATGGGACCCGCGTCCTTGTGCGTGTCCCGCCGCCTGGAAGCCGAGGACGTCATCGACGAGCTTGACGATTCCTATTGGCTGCTTCGGGCAAGTTCCACCTTCTATTGTGAACGTCACAACGCGGAAGTTGTTCAGTGAGCTGCAGACTGAAATTTCCTCCTCTGTGCAAGCTCTGGGAGCAATGTCTCTGCTCCTTTTCATTTCTTCATCCTGGGAGGGAGAGGGAGAACACTGATCACTTGCCGCAATTGAAGTGAGTCCAGATTGAGGTATGTCTGTTCCCTGGCTATAAAGCCATCTAATATCCTTTCTTCTCTCAGGTTGACACAATTTAAAGGGGAGTTTCACCAGGAAATTTAAGAGGACAGTATAACAGCATAGGACTGGGATATGTTTATTTTGTTACATTGTACATTAGTTATGGCGTTCTAAGTACATTTCCTATTACTTCTAGATAGTAGGAACTGCTGCTGCTGGAGTCTGAGATAACAAGGTGTGGACCTGGAGGAACACAGCAGGCCAGGCAGCATCAGAGGAGCACGAAAGATGATGTTTCGGGTCTGGACCCTTCTGAAGAAGGCTGTATGTTTAGCAACGCAGGCAGTAGTTTTGATTTGTTATTAAGGCAACCAGTTTTAATATCAGCCAATTAATTTAATCCAGGCACTTGGAGCCTGAAAACCAATTAAGTTTAATTCTGATGCTTTTGACAACTTAGCACCAATCCTACTGTAAGAAATTGACAGGTCATCAAGGATACAAAAGAAGATGATATTTGAAAATCAGTGTGACAGCAACTGCTACCTGTTAAAGTTAACAACCACAAGCCTTAAAGAGAAAGTCACTGGCTCTCACAGAATTCCCTAAGCTCTCAGGAAAACATCTTCTACTAAAGGTACAGTGGCCCTCTTAGCTAATATTCCTGACACAAGAATTGGATGGAGAAAGATGTTCCTGACTGAAGGACAGTGGAGAAGGCACCAAAGATTCCAGAAGATGTATCCTGGCTGTAATTTCAAGAGACTAATTTTAAAGTTTTTGTTTTATTAATTTTGGTTTATGTAAGTTGGACTTATATTTATTGGAACAGCATACCAGTTGAATTTTGTTTTATTCGGGAATAGTTATATTAAAGGGGGAATTATTCGATTTGTTAGTAATTCTGTTAATCTGTTCACTGTAAGATTTAGATAAGTTTTTACTTGTTGATTACAGAGTGACTGTCAGGAGTTTGTTTCATTTAACCTTCCCTTTATAACAGACTTGGAGGGTGAGAGGCAGGTTATACCACTTTTCACACTTCCTTTAACAAATTATGAGGTGAAGCAAGCTTCTCTGGGTGTTTCAGTTTTAGTTTTCAAAGGAGGGGTTGACCTCCACTTTGTAACAACCACTTACTCAGGAAGTTCATCCCTCAAGCCAACCACCCTCTGTGTAAAATTTTCCCCATCATGTCTTCTCTAAATCTCTCTGCTCTCATCTTAAAAATACACCTGCTAGTCTTGAAATCCCCCATCCTAGGGAAAGACACCTACTGTTAATTCTATCTATACCCGTCATGATTTTATAAACCTCTATAAGGTCACCCTTCAACCTCTACGTTCCTGTGAAAAAAAAGTCCCAAAATATCTTTGTAACTCAAGCCTTCCATTCCCAGCAACCTCCCCAAATCACTTCTGAACCCTCTCCAGCCTAATAATATTCTTCCTATAACAGGATGACCAGAACTGCACACAGTACTCCAGAAGAGGCCTCATCAACGTCCTGTAACCTCAACATAGAACAATTGAATTTATACTGTGAGCCATGGAGCAGTGGGACCAGACAGACAGAGTGCAGTCCTGCTATTTTCTTTGATTTGGTTTGATTTTATTATTGTCACCTATACCTCGGTACAGTGAAAAGTTTTGTTTTGCATGCAGTACAGGCAGATCATATCATACCGTACAAGGTGCATTCGGGTAATAGAACAAAGCAAGGTATACAATGTTACGACTGCAGGGGAAGAAGCTGTTCTTGAATCTGTTGATACGTGTGTTTAGGTTTAATATCTTCTGCCTGACAGAAGAGGTTGGGAGAGATTATAACTGGGATGGGAGGGGTCTTTGATGTTAGCTGCCTTCCCGAGGCAGTGAGAAGTATTGATGGAGTCAATGGATGGAAGGCTGGTTTGTGTGATGGACTGGGCTGTGGTCACAACTCTCTGTAGTCTCTCATGGTCCTGGGCAGAGAAGTTGCCGTACTGAGCCATCATGCATTCGGATATAACGCTTTCTGTGGTGCATCTATAAAAAATCTGAAAGTCTTTATGGACATGCCGAATTTCCTTAGTCTTCTGAGGAAGTAGAAGTGTTTCAGTCATAACATGATAAACATGGTGGTACAGAAGGAGTCCAGTCAGTAACAGGAGGCCTAGCTGATATTCCTAAGAATGATTGAGTCAGGCTCATATCCCTGGAGCTCTGCAAGTTTAATTCCTTCGAGTGCTAACCCACTTTCATTTTGAAATCGTTGACAATCTCCACAGCTGTCACCTTCATGACCCTCGGGGTATGTGATCTATCAATCAACACCTTTAGAAGGGGGAAGCATTATATATTGGGCCCAGCAGAGTGAGAATAGAGGGAGAAGTGCGTGGGACAGACATTTACAGCTTTTCAGGAGTCACAGAGGAACGGAATTTCTCCAGGGTTGTCTTCAGAATTTCTATCCCGCACTGACAGTAATTACTTCTGTTTACTCCTTTGACAGAATATTGGAGACGTTGCAGACAACCTCCAGCTTAATATCACGCCAAGATCCAAGAGAGAGAAACAGACAGTCACTCGATTCACTGGAACTTGAATGTCACTGGCCTTTGAATCGAGAAGGGCAAACAGTTGCCTGTCCTGGATATGTTAAACATAAGTGTGCCTGGAAAAGCACTGAGAGACGGACATATCCAATTGAGGGTGCTCCCAGCTCATGGACTGTGGGAAAAGCTTTTAACTACGTGGCCTGAAAAACTGTATACTGTGAGCCACTGGTGTGGAAAATCTGTGACAGAACAAGAGTTCTCAACTCATCGTTGAAACTGACGCAACAGCCGCACCATGGAGAAACCGTGGAAGTGCGGGCACTTTGGGAAGGGCTTCAAATCGCCCTCTAAGCTGGAGATCCAAGGACTCAGTCACACGGGGGAAGAGGCCGTTTGCATGCCAGTGCGGGAAGGAATTCAGCTAGTTGTCCAACCTTCGCAAGCACCGGAGAGTGGCTGCACGCTTGCCCGGACTGCGGGAAAGGATTCAGCGATTTCTGCAACTTGCTGACCCACTGGCGGGTGCAGACAGGCGAGAGACCATTCCCTTGCCCCGTGTGTGGGAAGGAGTTCGGCGATGCTTCCAACCTGTTCGGTCACCAGCGAGTTCACAAGTGATGACCGGGGCGGGGGTTGGAGTTTGGATTTTGCTGTCAATCACGTCCAGGACTGAACCACCTTCTGACAGGTAGAGGGCTTCTTTCTTTCTGCTGGACTGCCCACTCCTTCCCCCACCGCCTTCACTTCCAGTGGGGTTGGTGGGGCTGGTGCTTCTTTGAGCAACTCCCACACCCCCCCAAACAAAAGCACAGCCACACCGAAAAGGGGAGCAAAGTCAATTACCCATCCAACTTGTGGTGGTAGAGTCACACCGGGGCATTGGGTTGGGGTTGGGGGTGGTGGGGGAGAGGCCGTTCACCTGCTCTGCACCTGAGAAGACATTCCTGCTGGCCCACCAGCGAGTTCACACCAGAGAGGGGCCCTGAGCTTTGCCGGAGTTAGTCATCCCACACAGCGATACGTCAGTGAGTTCACTCTGATGTCAAAGAGTAATACAGCATGGAAACAGGCCCTTTGGCCCAAACTGCCCACTCAGCTAGTTCCAATTGCCCGCATTTGGTCCATATCCCTCTCAACCCTTCCCATCCATTAAACAATCCAAATGGTTTTTAAATGTTGCTGTTGTATCTGCCTCAACCACTTTCTCTGGCAGCCCATTCTATATACGCATCACTCTCTGCATGAAGAAGTTGCCTCTCAGGTCCTTCTTAAATTTTTCCTCTTTCACCTTAAACCTATGCCCTCCAGTTTTCAATTCCTCATCCCTGGGAAAAAGACTACATGCATTCATCCTATCTGTGCCCCTCATGATATTATGCATCTCAATATGAACACCCCTCATTCTCCTATGTTTCAAGGATAAAAGTCCCATCCTGGCCAACCTCTCCCTATAAGACCCTTTAAATTGGGAAGGCTCATGTGCCACCTACAGAAATGAGAAGAATCGACTTACCTCCTCCCAGAAGGTTGCGAATCCGTGCAGCTGACTGCCCCAGAGCACAACGGAGGCAGAATCAATCAACAGATCCAAGACAGAAATAGATCTGTTTCTCAGGGGGAGCAGACACGAAAGTGGAACTGAGACCAGGATAAGATCAGCTACGATCATGTTAAATGAAATCTGAAACACAACCAGCAATGGCTGGAGAAACTCAGCAGCAGCCACAGGGAGAGAAAGCAGAGTTAATGTTTCAGATCCGGTGACCCTTCCTCGGAACTGATGTACCATCAACGTGGTCACACGGAGAGACGGTTCAGGTGATTATCTACCCTCACGGGGTGGGGGCGGTGGTGAGGAGAGGAAGAGATCTTTTAAATATCCAGAATATAAGAAATGCTTGGGAAGTCGGACTGGACTGATGTCCCATCTACCTGTTCACGCTGATCAAAGACCACTCAGGAATGGGTTCAGGCCATCATCGAGCCTCACTGCACAGCAGTGAATTTGCACTGGAGGGGGCGGGGTGCACGTGTGCTTGTGTGTGCTGTGTTTGTGTGTTGTGTGTATGTGTATATATTCAGCTGCTCTGGAGTGTGGGAAGGGATTCACCAGCTCATCCCACCTGCCAGGAACTGGGAATTCCATTGTTATTAAAATCCAGATCACAACTGCATTCACTGGAGTCTGGTTCTGCTGATCAACTTCCCACGTGCTCACAGGTAACTGCAGTGATTGCATTTTTGTTTTTTGTTATTCATTCAAGAAATGAGAGAGTCACTGGTTAGGCCTATGTCGTATTGGGCTTAAAAGTTGTACCTTCAAACCAGATCGGTGTGGCTCAGTGCTTAGCTTTGCTGCCACACGCACCAGGACCTACCTTCAATTCGAGCCTTGGGCGACCGTGTGTGGAGTTTGCATGTTCTCCCCCTTGTTAGTGTGGGATTTCCTCCTACAGTCCAAAGATGTACAGGTTGGGTGGCTTGGCCATGCTAAATTGCCTCATGGCATCCGATGATGTTGCAGACCAGGCCGTTAGCCATGGGAAATGCAGGGTGACAGGGACAGGGTAATGGGGTGGGATGCTGTTTGGCGGGTGAGTGTGGATTCGATGGGCTGAATGGCCTGCTTCTAGAGTGTAGGGATTCCCATGATTAAGGGTTAACTGGACATTACAAGGAGTAGTTGAACTAAAGTACAATACAAATTTGTTTTGACAGGGTGGGAGAGTAAACCTGCCAGACCTTGAAGATAGGAAGAGGACTGTCGCTTGTGTGGTCTTCAGGGGGCCACCCAGACTTGTTTTCTCACCTACATTGAGTCCTGGGGATTCAGCATGGAGCCTTTGATTCAGAATAATCTTACAATCAGGGACTTTGCCCCATCCAACTTTTCACCATCACACTGGAGTGCTGTGGAATCTGAGATAGAACTCCTAGTACCAATGTCGCCATAGTCCCTAACTGATAGAAGGCAGTACAAGACTGTCGTTTGTGTGTGCATGCGCGTTTTACACAGTTTAAGATTTACTTATTAGTTTGCATCTGACTAATATAGGTCAATTAAGCAAATAAATTTACTTCCTATTAAAATGCACATGTCTGCTTGTCTTAATTTTGATTAGACCTTAAGAATCTGTTAGATGCTTTCAGTGCAACAACACAGCCAGCACTTATTACCCATCCTTAGTTGTCCAGAGGACATTGAGGAGACCTAGTTGCTTCTTAAACTTCTGTGAGGCTGAGGGGAGACCTTAGAGAAGTTTTGTAAATATCGTGAAGGGTACGGATAGGATGAAGAGCAAAAGGTCTTCTCCCGCAGGGCAGGGGAGGGGAGTCCAAAACTAGAGGGCATAGGTTTAAGGTGAGAGGGGAAAAAGATATAAAAGGGACCTGACTTTTTCAGGCAGAGGATGGTGCGTCTATGGAACAACCTGCTACAATTGCAACATTTAAAAGGAAGCGTTTATACAGATATGGGCCAAATACTGGTAAAAGGATCTAGATTAATTTGGGATATCTGGTTGACATTGTTCAGTTGGACCCATGAGTCTGTTTCTGTGCTATATGACTCTAACCACATTTTCTCTGGGTCTGGACGGACATACGAGACTGGGTGGGGGGGGGGGGGGGGGGGCAGATTTCGTTCCCCATGGTACATTTGTGAACCACCACGGGTTTTCTGTACTGCAAACGTTTTATTAACCAGCACCAATGGGAGCAGGAGTGTGCTGTTGATCAGATATTCATGATAAAAAAAAAGGTCCACATTATCAAAAATGTATAAAAACGCACATTCAGTAATAGAAATGTAATGCAGGAGATACACGTCACTGTTATACTTTATTTACGGCATTAAATCACTTAAATGATAATGCAACTTTGCCTTAAAATAAAACTTACCGGCAGACAGCGTCATCACTTGCACCCTCAACAGATGAATTGGACGTTATGTTATTTGATGAGAAAGTGACTTGAATTTGAATCAACTGTTGACATTTCATGTGGCCATTCAATTGAACAGGTATATTTACAATCGAGGTAAATAAAAGAAAAAGCCATAGTAACTGGACAGAATAATACAATGAACTTCACAGTATTTGAGGTACACAATTTTTGCCGGTGATTAAAACAACATTTGCAAGAATTACAAATGACAGTGCTTTCATGAGCACTGTTAGGCTACCTTTTCTTAAAACATAAAATTCCAGAAGTTTAGTAAATTCAAATTTCCCCACCTGCCACATCTTGGATTCTGATGACACATTACCACAAAACCACCTCCACCTCTCGTTTCTGATGTTAATCACACCCAGGACTCAACCAAGTCCACTGATGTCTGTTTCTGCTGAAGTTGAACTGCAGGCCAGCTACAGGGCTTGACATTCTTAAATGATGTCAAATAAATCAGTTATGTGTTAAACAAACAATGTGGTCAATTTTCTTTGAATATTTCTAACTGCATTGTGTACTTATGCCCCAGTACTGAATATGCCAACAAATGGAAACATTTTACTGTCCACATAAAACTATTTAACACGTTCAGAATTTTAGGAACAACAAATGTAGTTTCGCGTGGTTTGAGTTTGCTGTGGAAGGTGCTTATAAACTCTATCTCTGTCAATCTCGGATTGAAATTCATAGAATCGTGGATGCAAGCCATTCAGCCCATCGAGTTCACACTGACCCACTGAACAGCAACCCACCCGATGCTATCCTTGTAACCCACGTAGTCTGCACATCCCTGGACACTATGGGGCAATTTAGCGTGGCCAATCCATTCTAACCTACACATCTTTGGACTGTGGGAGGAAAGCCACACAGACAGGGGGGGGGGAAGAATGTGCAAACTTCACACAGACAGTTGCCCGAGGCCAGAATCGAGCACTGGTCCCTGGCGCTGAGAGGCAGCAGTGCTAACCACCAAGCCACAATTCTGCAAATTTTCTGTCTTCTTGCTTGCTGGGCCGACAATGGCCACGTTCATGTCCTCCACCACATTGATCCATATGAAGCTGGCAGTCGCGTGAATAAAAAGAGTCTCCTCCTATTCTCTTCTTTCATCTTATCTTTCCATCCCATTCTCTCTCATGTTCTCAGTTAGTTACCTGCTGAGGTAACTTTGAGACAACTACAATCACATCCCCCAGTTGTGACTTTCACATTCTACCTTACATCTGTTGAAAGAAATATCTGCTAGTTCCCCGTTGGGCATCCAAGTCTCCATCATGCGTTTGTGGCCTTTACTGTTAGAGACAACAACAAGTGGAAACACTCTGGCACGTTCAGAATATTAAACACAATACCGACCTCAGCAATATCCTTGTAAATCTTTTCTGCGCCCTTTCAAGTTTAACATCTTTCCTATAGCAAGAAGGCCAGTATTGAACGCAGTATTCTGAAACGTGGCCTCACCAATGTCCTGTACAACTGCAGCATGAGCTCCCAACTCCTACTTAATGCACTGACCAAAAGCCAAGTGTACCAAAAGCCTTCTTCAATACCCTGTCTACCTGTGACTCCACCTTCAAAAGTAACTGTGAACCTGCACCCCAAGGTCTCTTTGTTCAGCAACATCCCCAGGACACTACGATTAAGAGTATAAGTCCTGCCCTGATTTGCCTTTCCAGAACATAACACCTCACATTTATCCAAATTAACCTCCATCTACCACTCCTCAGCCCATCTGATGAAGATCCCATTGTATTCTGAGATAACCTCGTTCACTGTCCACTGCACTAATTTTGGTGTCATCTGCAAACTTACTAACCATTCCTCCTAGATTCACATTCAAGTCATTTATATTAAAGACAAAAAGCAATGGACCCAACACCGATCCTTGTGGCACACCACTGGTCAAAGGCCTCTAGTCCAAAAAACAACACTCTGCCATCTCCCTCTGTCTCCTATCTTCAAGCCAATTTTTATTCCAAATGGCTAGTTGTCCCTGGATTCCATGTGATCAAACCTTACTAACCAGTCTACCAGACAGAACCTCGTTGAACGCTTTGCTGAAGTCCCTATAGACAACATCCACCACTCTGCCTTCAACTTTCTTTATCACTTCTTCAAAAGACAAATTAGTTAGACACAATTTCCCACGCACAAAACTACTTTGACTATCCCTAATCAGTCCTTGCCTTTCCGAATACATGTAGATCCTGTCCTGCAGAATCCCCTCCAACAATGTACCAACCACTGACTTCAGGCTCACAGGTCTGGAAGTCCCCTGGCTTTTCCTTACCACCTTTCTTAAATAATGGCACCACATTAGCCACCCTCCAACCTTCCAGCACTTCACTCATGGCTATCAATGATACAAACATCTCAGCAAGGGGCCCAATCATTTCCCTCACTTCCCACAGAGTTCTAGGACACACCTGATCAGGTCCCAGGGATTTATCCCTCTATTTGTGTTTTCAGATGTCCAGCACCTACTCCTCTGCAGCATGGACACTAAGATATCACTATTTATTTCTCTCCAAGTTCTCTAACTTCCATATCCTTCTCCACAGTAAACACTGATGCAAAATACTCGTTTAGTACCTCCCCCATCTCCTGCGGTTCCACACATAAAAATCAACAAGGCTGACTAAGGGGCCCTAATCTCTCCCTAGTTACTCTTTTGTCCTTAATGTATTTGTAGAATCCCTTGGATTCTCTTTAACCCTATTTGCCAAAGCTATCTCATGTCCCTTGTTTTGCCCTCCCAATTTCCCTCTTCAGTATAATCCTACTGGCTTTGAGAGATTCACTTGATCCCAGCTGTCTATAACTACCTCCTTTTTGTTGACCATAGCCTCAATTTTTCTAGTCATCCAGTATTCCCTACACCTACCAGCCTTGCCCTTCACACTAACAGGAATATATTGCCTCTGGACTCTCGTTCTCGTTTTTGAAGGCCTCCCAATTTCCAGCCATCCCTTTATCCACCCCAATCAGCTTTTGAAAATCCTTGCCTAATACGGGCAAAATTGGCCTCACTCCAATTTAGAATATTAACCTTACTTTAGGTCTATCGTATTCCATAACTATTTTAAAACTCGTAGAATGATGATCACTGGTTCCAAAGTGTACCCCCACTGACACCTCAGTCACTTTCCCTGCCTTATCTCCCAAGAGGTCAGGTTTTGCTCCTTCTGTTAGGTACATCCACATACCGAATAAGAAAATTTTCTTGTACACACAAATTCCTCTCCATCCAAGCCCTTAACATTATGGCAGTTCCAGTCCATATTTGGAAAGTTAAAATTCCATACCATTATTACTCTATTATTCTTACAGATAAGCGAGATCGCCTTTCAAATTTGCTTCTTAATTTCCCACCAACTAATGGTGGGCTTATAGTACAATCCCAATAAGGTGATCAACCCTTTTGTATTTCTAAGTTCCACCCAAACAACCTCCTTGGACGTACTCCCAGGAATATCCTTCCTGAGTACAGCTGTAACATTAGCCTCAACAAAAATGCCACTCCGAATGAGAATAATTCTCTGTCTCCTACTGTCCTGCCAATTTTGTATCCAACTGCCTAGCTCTCCCTGGATCCCACGTTATCCAACCTTACTAACCAGTCTACCACGCGGAACCTTGTCAAAAGTCCATGCAGATAACTGCTCTGCCTTCATCTATCTTCTTGGCCACGTGTTCAAATAAACAGAATCAGGTTTTCAGTGACATGAGAAATCATGTCACTGAAATGTGGGAATGTGGTGAAACAACAGACAGACAATTCAAGTGCTGACTGAATGGAATGACTGGGCAGACAGGAAATGTCAGTATTACACAGCACACAGTAATCCTGCTGTAGGAGCTCCAACTGGTACCATTCAAAGCACTTAACGGGATTCCCAGAGGCTGAACATCAGGTGTTACAGAAATACACAAAGACACACCTACACACCCTTTCCATAAAACACGCACCACCATACACGTACACACACATGGAACTTCCTGTCCAATTGGGTGGCCAACACTAACCCCCAGTATTTGTCTGGTTGGTTAAAATTTTGGTACCTGTAGGCTCATGATGCTCGAGAAATTACGAGAAAGCAGTCCGGGGCTCGAGAGAGAGACTGACCATCCAGTTCGCTTCCTTTCTCTGAACTTTTTTTAAAAAATCTACACAATGAACATCTGCGACAAGGCGAACAATGACACATTAATAACGACTGCCATTACCACTCGGTGATCAACCCCAATGAGAGATCGTGCAAAATACAGGACAACATTAGCCTCTACATTTCCTGTCATAATTACAGAAGATACTAAAACCGCACAAATTTGATGGAGAGAGTTTACAAAGAGAAAGATAATGATGCTGTTTCGACCCAGTGATCCAACGCTCCGCTGAAATCAAACTGACAAAAGTTGCATCGTCGCTCGTCTTCACAATTTACAGCAGAATTTCGATGTCTGTGTGCTGCCTTCACTTTCGTTTCCGTGAATGGCATTTTGGAGATTTAAAAGTAAGTGGCCTCAGTGCGTCGCGAACAAAACCACTTTCACCACAAATGCCTTGCTGTTATTGCCTAGTCCAGGTCATAGCACCAGCTCAGTGGGACATCATAGGGCCCATTGGTTCCTAATGAGCCAGCTCCGTGGTAACAGAAAACATGAATAAACATGAGCTCCTTCTCCAGGCTGACCCTCCATTGAGGGACCGCTGCCCTGAGACAGTTGGAATTCATCACACAGAACATGCGGCAGCTGTGAACACGATCTTCCAATCTCTCTTTACAACTCTGTAAAAGAAAAAAATCCTCACTTTAAATTACCACCACCCGGTCAGTGAAAAAGGGTTAAACCTTTCTGCTTGATTTCCAAAGACCGGACCAAGCGTTCTCAAAAAACGTGCACGGATGCTTTGACTATCTTTTCAAATTGAAGTCAAAAACCATTTTTCATTTTACCGACAGTGTGTGTTTGTTTTAAAATATTCAGCGTTGTCCAAAAACGTCACTTTTTTTCTGTTCTTTCTTCAGGCAACTTTGCGAATGACTATAATAAAGCTGAAGACAGACAGGAGACTAAAAAATATAGTTGTTCAGAACTTGAGGATTTGAAAAAAAAGCTCATTGCTCTGATGAGTGCAAGACAAAGATAAAAGCTTCAACAAAATGTGTCTTTTTTCAAGCAATTGTCGAGAGTAAAATAATTAGTCTTCATTGTTAAGCTGTAGCTTTGACGTTGTTGGACCAGTAAGTTGGCAGGTTGGAGCCAGGTTTTCAACCCGAAAAGCAGAAGCCTCCAGAGATGCAAAAATTTCCGTGCCTTCACAAGTGTAAAGCAGCTTCAAAGGTTCACTTCCACTCATGAAGATGATCATGTTCCTCTGATGATCTGCTGGCGCAGAACCACATCAGTCTACAAGTAGATAGAGTATTTTAAACGTGACCCCATCACGATGAGCAAGATGCCATCGTAGTTGTTTCTTCCTATATTGAGACGGTTTATCCTCAAGTTCTGAAAAATATAGTCATATCAGAATTGAAAACGTTTCCTCCAGTACTTTCTGTCACATAAAATAGTAAACTCCAGCCAGTTTATACGGTTGTTAACATCATCAGACGCAAGCCTAATATTGTTAGACAGTCCATCCCGGATGCGATTAACATTATAAAATGCGGCAGAGTGTGGTTACCTATGGATTCGCTGGTGTCTCAGGAGGTGTTGCGATTGAGTGAACTCCATTCCACAGACGGAGCAGCTGAACGGCCGATCCGCACTGTGCACTCGCTGGTGTGTTAGCAGCTGGGACGACCACGGGAACCCCTTGCCACACACGGAGCAGGTGAACGGCTGCTCTCCCCTGTGAGTGCGTCGGTGCTCTTTGAGGTCCGCTGTCCGCCTGAAGGTCTTCCCGCAGGACGCGCAGATGAACGGATCCTCCTTGGTGTGAAAGTAGTGGTGGGACTGGAGGGCGTCTATCTGATCGAATCTCTCCCCGCACACAAAGCAGGCGAACGGCTTCTGCCCCGTGTGAATCCGCTGGTGCTCGGCGAGCAGGGAGGCAGACTTGAACCCCTGCCCGCAGGTTGTGCAGCTGAACGGCTTCTCCTCGGTGTGAACCCGCTGGTGCAGAGAAAGGCCCGACGACTGAGTGAACCTCCTCCCGCACTCTGAGCAGGTGAATGGCCTCTCCCCGGTGTGAATGCGCCGGTGTATATCCAGCCGGGACGAACAAGTGAATCTTTTCCCACAGTCCTCACATTTCCACGGTTTCTCCATGGCGCTGGTGTCTTTGTCTCTCCCCTGTCCACGTGCAGAACACACGAATGATTCCTTTCCCCACTGGAAAGACGATATTTTTCAGGCTTTCGGGTTCTTTGCACAGTGAATACACTGGAACGCTCTCCCGTGAGACTGTGTTTCTGTGCGTGTGTCTCAATGCTTTTCCAGTCTCACTGATTAAAATGTTCTCCCATGGACACGGAGAAATATTTCTCCTTCCACATTTCAAATCTGATAATCATCAGGTCCTGATGAATCAAATGACTATTAAATCTTGATGTGATGTTTTAGTTTCCTTAACTTCAAATCATATCCTTCCAATAACCTGGAAAAGGAGTGTACAAAATTAGTGGTATGTACAGGTAGATTTTCAGAACAAACAATTACGGTTATTACAGAATTGTTTTTTCCCTCCCTCTTGCTCCCTCAAAGTTACAAACCCACATCCCATATACTTTCTTCCCACAGAACCTTTCCTATTCATATACCTATACAAATGTGTTTTAACGTTCTAACTTTACCCGCATCTACCACTTCCGCTGGCAGTGCATTCCACACATGAATCACTGTAAAAAAACTGCCCTCGTATCCTTTTAAAAATCTTTCTCCTCTCACCTTAAAAATACAGCCCCTAGACTTGCAATTCCCCACCCTAGGGAAAAGACCTTGGCTATCCACCTTTTCAATAACCCTCATAATTTTGTGAACTTCTACAAAAGGTCACCCCTCAGCCTCCTACTCTCCAGTCAAAAAAGTCCTAGCCTATCTTTTAGCTCAAACCCTCCATTCCCAGCAACATCCTGGTAAATCTTTTCTGAACTCTCTCCAACTTAATAATATTCTTCCTATAGCAGGGCAACCAGAACTGTGCACAGTACTCCAGAAGACAGCACACCGATGTCCTGTACAACCTCAACATGCTGTCCCAATTTCCATACTGATTAGTTGGAGCAATAATCGGCAAGCATGCTAAACACCTTCTTAACCTTCCCATCTACTTATGACACAAACTTCAAAGAATATGAACCTGAACCACTTGGTTTCTCTGTTCAACAACACTATCCAAAGCCCTACCATTAATTGTGTAATCCTGTCCTTGTTCATTTTACCAAATTGCACTACCTCACATTAATCCAAATTAAAGACCATCTGCCAGTCCTCAGCCCATTGACTCAATTGATCACGATCTCTTTGCCATCCAAGATAACCTTCTTCACTGTCCACTATACCACCAATTTTGGTATCATCGGCAAACTTACTGACCATGCCTCCGAAATTCTCATCCAAATCGTTTATATGAATGACAAACAAAAGTGGACCCACTTTTATTGTCAATTCAGCTTTCCAGCATCTGCAGCGCTTTGTTTTATTAACCTCTTACAGTTACTGTCAGCCTCTCCCATGCCCTGATATTAGCCCTCCCCTTCCTGTCGATTCCCCAGGAAGAGGTGCAGTACCCAGGACGGAAGGAGGAGCCTTGCAGTTGCAGACCAGGGAGCTGCCGACCCGGAATCAGGGTCTGGTGGCTCTAATCACGTGATCCCGACCCGCCGACACCCCCCCCCACACACTGGTCAGCTGACTGCTCCGTCGCGCCCTCGAGCGGCTGTGGAGGCGACCAACAGGAGCAGGTTCCCTTTAAATCTATGACGGCGCACACTCCAATCATGACGCTCCGGTCGGTGAGTGACAGCGGGTCCTGACCAATAGAAAGAAGGCTGCCGGATGACTGAAACAGCGGCATCCTCCAACCAGTGTGCGGGATGGGGGCGGGGCTTGCGAGGCAAAGTGCCCGGATGCAGCCATTAACCCCGCAGAGCAATCGACCGTGAAACCCAGACAAAGCCCGAGCAATTGCTATCCACTGAAACACCGGACTGGTAGCTCGCGATTCCGAGATTGAGGCTCACACCGGGTGTTGATAAAGCCCTCTTACCTCACCCAAATGCCGAACCCGTCCTTCCGTGTCCGACCGACGACTCTATTCGCAATGCGACGTCCAACGCGACCGTTTCAAGTCAGATCGGGTCCCAATAGTGCGCATGCTCCTAGTCACGATTCCCGCCGGGTGATTGACGGTGCGTCTAGGCCAATAGGAGGAAGAGCGGGCGGGGCCTCCTACGGGGGAGGTGGTTAGCCCACCAACCAATCGGAGTGAATAGAAGGGTGAGGCTGGAGGACAGATCTGGCGGGTCTGGTCCTCCAACCAATCGGAATGAAGCGATGGGTGGGCCCAGTGGACCCGCGCGGACGGCTGGTCCTCCAACCAATCGGAGTGCAGGAAGGGCGGGGCTGGAGGACCGAACCGGCGGCTGGTCCTCCAATCAATCAAAATGAACGCAGCAAACAAAAGCAGAAATTAAGAAATTGCCAAAAACAGTATTTTCGAGCCAACGGATCCTTTTTCAGAACTGAGAGCACCTTGGAAAAATGTGGCATTTATTTATGCTGGCAAGTCTGGAATTAGTGGTTCGATTTGATTTCTTTTGTCTCATTTGAGTTGATTTACTATCGTCACATGTACCTAAGTACAGTGAAAAGTTTTGTTGTTCAAGCAGTATAGGCAGATCATGCCATACACAGATTGAACAGAATGAGGAATAGAAAGTTACGGCTGCAGAGAAGGTGCACAAAAAGCAAGATCAATAATACATCTATAATTTGAGAGGTCCATTTAGGAGTATGATAACAGCGGGGAAGCCAACGTTCTTGAATCTGTCTGTCTGTTTGATTAAACTTTTGTATCTTCTGCCAGATTGAAGTGGTTGGAAGAGATTATAACCAGGTTGGGAGGGTTCTTTGATAGTGTTGTCTGCCTTTCTGAGGCAACGAGAAATATAGGTGCAGTCAATTGATGGAATGGCTTGCGTGATGGTCTGGGGCTATGTTCACAACTCTCTGTAGTTTCCTACAGTCTTGGGCAGAGCAGTTAGCATACCAAACTGTCATGCATCCAGAAAGAATGCTTTCTATGGTGCTAATGTAAAAGTTGGTAAGAGTCCTTATGGACATGCCCAATTTCCTTAGCCTCCTGAGATAGAAGAGGCATTTGTTATGCCACCTTGACCATTGCATCAATGTGGGTGGTCCAGGACAGATTGCTGATGATTGTCATTCCTAGGAACTTGATGCTTTCGATCATCTACACCTCAACTCCGTTGATGTAGATCACTGTGTGCCCTCCTCCTTGCTTCCTGTAGTTGATGATTAGCTCTTTGGTTTTTCTGGCATTGAGGGAGAGGTTGTTATCTTTATACCATTTCCACCAAGCAGTCTATCTCTTTCCAGTATTTGATCTCGTAATTGTTTGATATCTGGCTTACAATGGTGGTGGCCATCAGTGAACTTGCAGATGGAGTTCGTACCTGGGTACAGTGAAAAATTTTGTTTTGTGTACAGCATGGGCAGATCATACCGTCATAGAAGGATTGAGCCTGGGAAGAGTTACAGTCATACAGCACAGAAACAGACCCTTCAATCTAACCAGTCCATGCCAACCATAATCTCAAACGAAACTAGTCCTGCCTGCGTTTGGCCCATATCCCTCCAAACATTTCTTATTTGTGTACTTAACTAAACGTCTCTTAAACATTGTAACTGTACCTGCATCCACCACTTCCTCTAGAAGTTCATTCTACACATGAACCACTCTGTGTTCAAAAAAAGTTGCCCCATCATGTCTTTTTAAATCTTTCTCCTCTCACCTTAAAAAATGCCCCCTAGTATGGAGATCGCCCACCCAGGGAAAAGACAACTGCCATTCACCTCATCTATTCCCCTCATTATGTTATAAGCCTCTATAAGGTCACCTCTCAACCTCCTATGCTCCAATGAAAAGTGTTCCAGCCTATCCAGCCTCTCCTTACAAAACAAACCCTCCATTCCTCACAACATTTTGTGAACCTTCTCCAGTTTAATATAACGGGGTGACCAGAACTGCATACAGTACTCCAGAAGAGGCATCACCAACATCCTGTACAACCTCAACATAACGTCCCAACTATATACTCAAAGATCTGAGCAATGAAGGCAAGTGTGCCAAACACTTTCTTAACCACCTTATCTATATGTGGTGCAAACTTCACAGAATTATGTGCCTGAATTCCTTGGTCTCTCTGTTCTACAACACTGCCCAAGATCCTATTTTTAATTGTATAAGTCCTGCCCTTGTTTGTTTTACCAAAATAAATTAGCTCACATTTATCCAAACTAAACTCCAACTGCCACTCTTCAGCCCAATGACCCAGTTGATCAAGTTTTCTTTGTAATCCTAGATAATCTTTTTCACTGTCCACCATACCGCCCAATTTTGGTGTCACCAGCAAACTTACTAAACCATACTTTCTAAGTGCTCATCTAAATCGTTTGTACAAATGACAAAGAAAAGTGGTCCCAGCACCGATCCCTGTGGAACACTGCTGGTCACAGACCTCCAGTCCGAAAAGCAACCCTCCACCATCACTCTCTTTGCACTTTGTACCTCCTGGGGAAGGGCCACAGCAGAGTCAGTGCCCAGGGTGAGGGAGAAAACATCGTAAGCACCAGGGTAGACTTGGAACCCAGACGAGAAGTTGAGTTACAGGAAGTAGAAGTGTGGTAGGATTCAAGCCGGTTGGAACTCAGTACAAATGGGGAGGGAGAACAGAATCAGCTTCGACCTTAGTGAGAATTATTCAGCTGGACACTCCCAGTTCCTCTTGACATGTGAACTGACCAGGACCTACCCAAAGCAGCCATGCTGTCCCTTTCAGCATTCTGGAGCTGGGTCTGTCTCTGATGGCTGATGGAGAGGGAGTTGAGACCAGCTTGAATGGCCCACCAGCTGTGACATGAGATTGCTGGCGGAGGCCCGTTACCGAGACGCTGGAGCCCATTTCAGAGACCCCAGCCAATGTCGACCACCAATGCTGCCTGTGCGAGATCCTGCAAATCCACTGGGAAGAAAGACCCACCAACACCAGCATCTTTGACCAGACCAACATCCCCTAGCATCGAGGCACTGGCCACCCTCAGTTGGCTGCGATGGGCTGGGCACATTGTCCGTATGACCAACACGAGACTCCCTGAGCAGGTCCTCTACTCCCAGCTCCGAAATGGCACGCGAGCCCCAGGAGGGCAGAGGAAGCATTTCAGCGATACCCTGAAGGCCTCACTGGGGAAGTGCGGCATTCCCACAGATACCTGGGAGTCACTGGCCCAAAGCCATCCAAAGTGGAGGAGGAGCATCTGGGAAGGCATCGAGGTCCTCGAGGCTTGTCGTCGGGAAAAAATGGAGGCCAGGCTCAAACAGTGAAAGGAGCACGCTGCCACGCCAATGCCCCACCAACCCTTCATGTGACCACCTTCTGCCCCAAGTGTAACAGAGACTGTGGTAGCTGTATCGGTCTGTACGGCCACTTACGGACTCACCCTGAGACTGGAAGAGAGTCATCCTCATCTGTGAGGGACTACCGATGATGAATGATGCATGGGAAGGTACCGTTGGGATGTGGGGAGGTATTCGGAGTGGACCAGGGTGTCCCAGAGGGAAGAGTCCCTGCGCGAGGCGGACAAGGGAAAGGAGGGGAATATGTGTCTGGTGCTGGTGTCCTGTTGGAGGTGGTGGAAATGACAACTAATGATCCTTTGGAAGTGGATGCTGGTGGGGTGGTAAGTGAGGATCAGGGGAATGCTCGTTCTCTGGGTGGAGAGGCGATCTGAGGAACTGGTGGTCACCAAAACTTGGGCATTGCAACCATTCTGATGAAGATAGACTGTGATTGCTGGTACCGTGCATTTTGGGTATAAAATCCAAATTGTGTTCTAAATCAAAACAGAAAATACTGGGGAAGCCCAGAAGGTATTGAAGTATCAGTAGAGAGAAATAAGAGTTAATTTCTCGATTCTGATATCTCACTTCTTCAGAACATATCAGATTTCCATCACCATTATAGAGAGGTGGTGACACTATGGTGATGTCACCAAATTAGTAATCTTCAACCCCAGGCTGCATGGACATTGGTTAGGCCAGTTTTGGAATACTGCATTCAATTCTGGTCTCCCGGTTATAGGAAAGATGTTGAAAGGGTGCAGAAAAGATTTACAAGGATGTTGCTGGGATTGGAGGTTTTGAGCTATAGAGAGAGGCTGAGTATACTGGGGCTTTTTTCCTGGAGTTTCGGACGCTGAGTGGTGACGTTATAGAGGTTTATAACATCATGAAGGGCATGGATAGGGTGAATAGCCAAGGTCTTTTTTTTCCCAGAGTAGGGGGAGTCCAAAACGAGAGGAGCATATGTTTAAGGTGAGAGGGGAAAGATTTAAAAGGGACTGAAGGTGCAACAGTTTCACGCAGAGGGTGGTGTGTGTATGGAATGAGCTGCCCCAGGAAGTGATGGAGGCTGGTGCAATAACAACATTTAAAAGGCATCTGGATGGACATTTGAATAGGAAGGGTTTAGAGGGATATGGGCCAAATGCTGGCAATTGGAACTAGATTGATTTAGGATATCTGGTCGGCATGTTCGAGTTGGACTGAAGGGTCTATTTCCATGCTGTACAACTCAATGATTCTAAGATTTAAATCCCTCCCCCGCCTCATGCCAGAGAGTGAATTTTGAATTTAAAAAAAACAAAAGATCTGGAACTAAAAGCAAGCCTAATAGCATTCGTGTAACCACTTTTAATCATTGTAAAAACACGCCTAGTTTCCTTTGAGGGAAGGAGACGTACTGTCGTTACCTGATCTGGCCTAAATGTCATTCAGACCCACAGCAATGAGGTTGACTCTTTTTTTTTGCACCAAAATGAATTTTATTACAAAGTAAATTCCACACATCAGAAATGTATTAGGAGAGAAGAGGCAATTTCTCCCTCATTGTCAGCAAAACGATAGAGCTGGTCGTTAACTTCAGGAAGCAGAGTGGAGGGCATGCATCAATGGTGCTGTGCTGTAGATTATCGAAGGTGTCAAGTTCCTGGGAGTGATGATCACCAACAATCTGTTCTGGTCCACCCAAATCGACGTGATGGTCAAGAAAGCACAACAATGTCTTTACTTCCTCAGCAGGGTAAGGAAATTCGATACGTTCACAAGGACTCTTAGCAATTTTTATAGATGCATCATATGGAACATTCTATCTGGATGCATCACAGCTTGGTATGGCAACTGCTGTGCCCAGGACCATGAGAAACTACATAGAGTTGTGATCAAATCTGAAGAAGGGTCTAGGCCCGAAACGTCAGCCTTGCTGCTTGGCCTGCTGTGTTCATCCAGCTCTACACCTTGTTATCTCAGATTCTCCAGCATCTGCAGTTCCTACTATCTCTGTGGCTGGGAAAACGTCAGTTTATATGCAGAAAATAGGGAGGTGGATGGGGTAGGGAGTAAACGATAGGATAGAGCCCAAAGAGAGAGAAGGACAGTTGGACAGACAAAGGAGTTGCTAACGATCAGGCTGGGAGGGTGAATAGTTGTTAATGGGGACTGTTAGTGACTAACAACAGGGGGTGTGTAGTGGCAGGCTATGTGGTAACAAGGCCTGGTGTGTGGGGTGGGGGGCTGGGACATGGGAGAGTTTAGGCCCTAAAATTATTGAACTCAATATTGAGACTGAAGGGCTGTAGGGTCCCCAAGCGGAAAATGAGGTGTTGTTCCTCCAGCTTGCATTGGGCTTCACTGGAACACTGCAGCAAGCCAGAGACAGAGATGTTGGCCAGGGAGCAAGGTGGTGCATTGAAGTGGCAGGCAACAGGTAGTTCAGGGTCTTTTTTGCGAGCAGAACATAGATGTTCTGCGAAGCGGTTGCCAAGTCTACGCTTCATTTCCCCACTGTAGAGGAGACCACATTGTCAGCAGCGAATGCAGTAGTGAGGTGTTGCTTCACCTGAAAGGTATGTTTGGGCCCTTGGATTCTGGGGAGGGAGGAGGTAAATGCGCAGGTTTTGCACCTTCGCCGGTTACAGGGGAAGGTGCCATAGGGCTGTGGGGAGGTGTTGGGGGTGATGGAAGTGTGGACCAGGGTGTCCCAGAGGGAATGGTACCTGCGGAAGGCGGACAAGGGAGGGGAGGGGAATATGTGTCTGGTGGTGGCATCTTGCTGGAGGTGACGGAAATGGCGTCTGATGATCTTCTGGATGCTGGTGGGATGATAGGTGAGGATAAGGGGAATCCTGTCACTGTTGCGGGAGGGATGAGAAGGGGTGAGGGCGGAAGTGCGGGAGATGGGTCGGACCTGGTTGAGTGCCCTGTTGACAACGGAGTTGGGGAATCCTCGGTTGAGGAAGAAGGTGGACATTTCAGAGGCTCCCTTGTTGAAGTTGGCCTCATTTGAACATATGCGACGGAAATGGAGGAACTGAGAGAATGGGATGGAGTCTTTACAGGAAGTGGGGTGTGAGGATGTATAATCCAAGTAGCTGTGGGAGTCAGTGGGTTTGTAATGGATATTAGTGGCCAGTCTATCCCCAGAAATGGAAACAGAAATGTCGAGGAAGGGAAGGGAGGAGTCAGAGATAGATCAGGTGAAAGTGAGGGCGGGGTGGAAATTGGAGGCGAAATTGATGAAGTTAATGTGGTATACTGTATCCGCTGTTCCAGATGTGGCCTCCTCTACATCGGGGAAACCAAGCGGAGGCTTGGGGACCACTTTGCGGAACACCTACGCTCGGTTCGCAACAAACAACTGCACCTCCCAGTCGCAAACCATTTCAACTCCCCCTCCCACTCTTTCGACGACATGTCCATCCTGGGCCTCCTGCAGTGCCACAATGATGCCACCCAAAGGTTGCAGGAACAACACCTCATATTTCGCTTGGGAACCCTGCAGCCCAATGGTATCAATGTAGACTTCGCAAGCTTTAAAATCTCCCCTCCCCCAACCGCATCCCAAAACCAGCCCAGCTTGACCCCACCTCCCTAACCTGTCCTTCCTCCCACCTATCCCCTCTGCCCACCTCAAGCCCCATCCCCATCTCCTACCTACTAGCCTCTTCCTGCCCCCTTGACCTGTCCGTCCTCCCTGGACTGACCTATCCCCTCCCTGACTCCCCACCAACACTCACCTTTACTGGCTCCTTCCCCGCCTCTTTGACCTGTCTGTCTCCTCTCCACTTATCTTCTCCTTTATCCATCTTGTATCCGCCTCCCCCTCTCTCCCTATTTATTTCAGAATCCCCTTCCCCTCCCCCATTTCTGAAGAAGGGTCTCGGCCTGAAACGTCAGCTTTCTTGCTCCTCTGGTGCTGCTTGGCCTGCTGTGTTCATCCAGCTCTACACCTTGTCCTCTCAAATGTGAATTCTGATCTCTTTTGCTCTCTGTACCTACGACACTATGTTCTGCACTCTATTCTGCTACCTTGATGCACTTTGTATGGTACGATTTGCCTGTATAGTACACAAATCAACATTTTGCTCTCTATCTACCACATTTACCAGAATGTGGCCGGGAATGGAGGATTTGTATTGTAAAGAGAGGCTGGATAGACTGAGACATTTTTCACTGGAGCATAGGAGGTTGAGAGGTGATCTTATAGAGGTCTACAAAATCATGAGGGGTATAGATAAGGTGAATGGCAGGTGTTTTTTTTCCTAGGGTAGAGGATTTGAAGACCAGTGGACATATTTTTAAGGTGAGAGGAGAAAGATTTAACAAAGACATGAGGGGATTTTTTTTAACACAGAGGGTGGTTTGCGTGTAGAATGAACCTCCAGAGGAAGTGGTGCACGCAGGTACAGTTACAATGTTTAAAAGACATTTGGATACATACATGAATTAGAAACGTTTGGAGAGATATGGGCCAAGTGCTGGCAGGTAAGACTAGTTTGGTTTGGGATTATGATCAGCAAGGACTAGTTGGACCGAAGGGTCTGTTTCAACGCTATGACTCTATCTCAGTACACGTGACAACAATAAATAAATCAATCAATTAAGAAACAAAAGAACCAAGTTTGTCATTAGTTCCCATTTTTGTGTTCAATGTTGTATTACAATTCGCACAAAAACAACCATTGCAATTGCCAGTCATCAATGGGTTTCTTACTGCCCTAGGAAGTCACTCAATAGGCAATTTGGAATGTGCAAGAAATATTGGCCCAGCCAGAGACACTCCATCCTGTCGCATTAGTAAAACAAAAATCTGCACCATTTAGCTTTGAATTGCTTTCTGAATTCTTTGAGGGAGTTTGAAGAAAAGGCAGGTTACATTATTTTCCCTTTATTCATTCACAGGATGAGGGCATCGCTGGCCGGGCAGCATTTATTGCTCATCCCTAATTGCCCAGGGGGCAGTTAAGTGTCAGCCTCATTGCTACGGGTCGGGAGTCACGTACACCAGACCAGGTAAGGATGGTGATTTCCTTCCCTGAGGACATTAGTGAACAAGATGGGTTTTTCTTCACAATCGCGAATGGATTCATGGTCATCATTAAATTCTTAGTTCTAGATATTTGTTGAAATCAAGTTCCACCATCTGCCGTGGCGGGATTCAAACCCTGGTTTCCAGAACATTATCTGGGTCTCTGGATTAACAGTCCAACAATAATACCACTAGGCCATCATGTCCCCCATTGCACTTTGCATACGTCTCTCCCCTGAGGTGGGTTTGAGCAGGTTTTATTGTCCCCGATTTCTCATTGGCCCATTAGGCACTTTACTCTTGCACCAGGGGAAAGAAATGACCCAGGAATGTGGACTAGAGATAACAAGGTGTAGAGCTGGATGAACACAGCATGCCAAGCAGCCTGAAGAAGGGTACTGGCCCAAAATGTCAGCCTTCCTGCTCCTCTGATGCTGCTTGGCCTGCTGTGTTCATTCAACTCTACACCTTGTTATCTCAGATTCTCCAGCATCTGCAGTTCCTACTATCTCTATCCAGGAATATGGACCTTCAGTTTCAGGGGTGGTACCCAGCTTTCCCCGCGCCAGACAGCGGCCTCTGTCCAACAAACGGGAAAGCGGTGCGCAGGCGCGGAAGCTCCGTGCTCAGAGCATGCGCGGGAAGTGGAATGGCGATGAAGGGATGCTCCCTTTTCTGACAACCACGCTTTGGTGAGAATCAGATCGGGGCGGAGGGAAAGACGGAGCGCTGGGCCCACCGTGTGGCCGGGAGCATCTCAAACACACGGGAAACCCCGAAAACGAATTTACCAAGAGCCCCCGTCCCCACTCGCCCGACGCGTTTTCGTGAGACAGCGAGCTGGTTTGGTCGGTCGCCATTTTTGTTGGGGGCGATGCACGATAAAGCGCATATGCGATCGCCATGTTTGTAGGGGGCAATGTCTGAGAATGAGGAGGAGGAGCTTTGCTGCCCAGTGTTCAGAATGGGGACAACCTGTCCATCAAACTGCTTCAGGTTTTGACTCCCAGTGTGTGATTGATGAGGCAGAGCAGTAGCAGGAAATCATATTGATTGGCACTACAGAAGGACTTCCTGTCTGTATTGCCAAAAAATAAACTGAAACAAAACAGTAAGTTATAGGGATAGTAGGAACTGCAGATGCTGGAGAATCTGAGATAACAAGGCATAGAGCTGTGTTCATCCAGCTCTACACCTTGTTATCTCAGTAAGTTATAGGAGCAGAATTAGACTGTTTGGCCCATCGAGGCTGTTCCACCATTGGATCATGGCTGATGTGTTTCTCAACCCCATTCTCCTGCCTTCCCACCGTAACCCTTGATCCCCTTACTAGTCAAGACCCTATCCATCTCTTGTCTTAAATACACTTCTAAAATCATGAGGGGTGTAGATAAGGTGAATAACAAGCCTATTTTCCCTAGGATGGGGCAGTTCAAAACGAGGAGGCATATTTTTAAGGTGAAAGGAGAAAGATTTAAAAAGGACATTTTTAAATGACACTGGGGCAGCATGGTGGTTCAGTGGTTGGCACAGCAACCTCACGGCGCCAGGGACCCAAGTTCGATTCCACCCCCAGGCAACTGTCTGTGTGGAGTTTGCATGTTCTCTCCCCGTGTCTGCATGGGTTTCCGAAGATGTGTAGGTTAGGTGGATTGGCCACACTAAATTGCCCCGTAGTGTCCAGGGATGTGCAGCCTTGGTGGATTGGCCATGGGAAATAAAGGGTTATGGGGATAAGGTGGGTCTGGGTGGGATGCTCTTTGGAGGGTTGCTGTGGACCCAATGGGCCGAATGGCCTGCCTCCACACTATGACCTGAGGTGCAACTGTTTTACACAGAGTGGTTTGTGTGTGGATGCAAATATAGTTACAATGTTTAAAAGACATTTGGACAAATTCATGAATGGGAAATGTTTAGCGGGACATGAACCAAGCACAGGCAGGTGGACTAGTTTAGTTTGGGAATATTGTTAGCATGGACGAGTTGGACCGAAGGGTCTGTCTCCATGCTGCATGACTCTATGACATGGTCTCCACAGCCCTCCATGGCAATGAGTTCCACAGATTCAACACCCTTTGGCTGAGGAAATTCCTCCTCATCACAGTTCTAAAGGGTCGTCCCTTCACTCTGAGGCAGTGCCCTTGTATCCTAGTCTCTCCTACTGGTGGAAACATCTTCTCCGTATCCACTCTATCCAGACCTCTGAGCATTCTGTAAGTTTCATTGATATTCCGTCCCCCTCCCCCTCATCCTTCTATGCTTGCTCGAGTTAAGATCCAGAGTCCTCAACTGCTGTTCATATGATTAACCCTTCATCTGCTGGATCATTCTTGTAAACCTCCTCTGGACCCCCTCCAATGTCAGCACAGCCTTCCTTAGATATGGGCGCCCAAAAGCAGAAGGGTCACTGGACTCAAAATGTTAATTCTCCTTTCTCTCCACAGATCTTGCCATACCTGGTGAGTTTTTGTAGCAATTTGGAGTTACAGATCATGAAGCATGGAAATAGACCCTTCAGTCCAATTTGTCTATGCTAACCAGATATCCGAAACTAATCTATTCCCATTTGCCAGCATTTGGCCCATAACCCTCTATAGCCTTCCTATTCATGTACCCATCCAGATGCTTTTTAAATGTTGTAATTGTACCAGCCTCCACCACTTCCTCTGGCAGCTCATTCCATACACACACCCACCCTCTATGCGAAAAAGTTGACCGTCGGGTCCCTTTTAAATCTTTACCCTCGCACCTTAAACCTATGCTGTCTAGTTTTGGACTCCCCTACCCTGGGGCAAAGGATCTTGGCTGTTTACCCTATCCATAACCCTCATGACTTCACAAAGCTCTATAAGGTCACAGCTCAACCTCCAATGCTCCAGGAAAAAAAATATCACCAACCTATTCAGCCTCTATATCTCAAACCCCCTTCTTTCAGACTTCCAGCATCCGGAGGTTTTTTTTAATTTTACGTACACTGGACTCAACTTCCCACACTAAGCTCATAGCCTTGAATATTATGACACTTCAAGTACTCATCCAAGTACTTTTTAAAGGTTGTGAGGTTTCCTGCCTCAGCTATCTTCCTAGGCAGGGCATTCTTCACCAACCTCTGGGTGTAAAAATATTTCTCAAATTCCCCGCTAAATGTCTTGCATTTCACTTTTAAAAAAGTGTGCCTCCTTGTTCTTGACCCTTGGGAATGAAGAAAAAGGAAGCAAGTCCCAAACTCGGGTCCAATTACCTCAGAGGATGCTCAGCCCCAGATTTATCAATATCTTTGACTCAGCTCAGCTGAGTCATGTGAAGGCCCCTCACAGAAACTAACAACTGTGAGGAGATGTCATCTCCTAATGGAGAGACTAACCACCTTATTAAGGGCAGTGTGCAGTCATCTTCAGCCAATGAGCAGGAGTGGAGATCATTGTGAAATGCTAACCAAATAAAATCTGAAAGAACTGTGGATGCTATAAATCAGAAACCAAAACAGAAATTGCTTGGAAAAGCTCAGCAGGTCTGAGAGAAATCAGGGTTAACATTTCGGGTCGAGAACTGTGATTGTGAAATTCTACTCTGGACAGACAGTGAAGGATTTTGGAAACTCATTTTATGAAGGGTTAGAAGGGGACAATTTACACACAGCAAACTCAAACCAAGAAAAATGTTGGTTTCCCTGAATTTGTATCCCAGAAAGATATTGATGGATTTTGCAAACTTCCTCTTACAGGATGTTACTTGGCAAGAAGAAACTCAGAATCACTCGATTCATCAGGACTCTGATCTTTAAGTGTGAGTGTTGAGTGCCAAGTTAGTTTAAACGGCTTCCTTGACAGCCCTGCTGTGGCTAAAATCCTCAACCGTTGTCCTGTAGTTATTTCACAATCAGCTAAAGGGAAGAACTTTATCTAATCTATTGAAGCAAAAGCTATCATAAGCTCGGGTTAGCATGGTGGCTCAATGATTAGCACTGCTGCCTTACAGTGCCTGGGACCCAAGTTTGATTCCACCCTGGGGTGACTGCTTGTGTGGAAGTTGCATGTTCTTCCCCGTGCCTGCGTGGGTTGTCCTCCGGGCTCCGGTCTCCTCCCACGGTCCAAAGATGTGCAGGTTAATTGGATTGGTCACGCTAAATTGCCTGTAGTGACCAGGGTTGTGTAGGCTAGGGTGAAGTAAGAAGTCACACGACGCCAGGTTATGGTCCAACAGGTTTATTTGAAATCACAAGCTTTCAGACCCTTGCTTCTTCTTCATGTGAAGTGGAGGGAAGTCTTTGCAGCTGATCAAAAGTGTCAGATGGTATGAGTAAAGTGTCGACAGTTGAATAGCAAGTGAAAGGAAGCCCTATGCAAAGACTTATTATTTCAGCCTGTCGAAACTCCACTCACACTATTTGTACTCATCTTTTGACACTCCTCATTCCCTGGAATTATCGTGCCGTCATCTCTCGCATAGAAATTCTGAGCCTGCGCGCTATCCCTCCACTTCCCCTGACGAAGGAGCAGCGCTCCAAAAGCTCGTGATTTCACATAAACCTGTTGGACTATAACCTGGTGTCGTGTGACTTCTGACTTTGTCCACCCCAGTCCAACGAGGCGAGGGTGGATTTAGATACAGGGTAGAACGGTGGGTCTGGGTGGGACGCTTTTCGGAGGGTTGGTGTAAACTCGATGGGCCGAATGGCCTGCTTCCACACCAGAGGGATTCTCTGATTCTATGTGCACCTCAATCAAAATCACTCCTCGATTTCCCCCCAACCTGACCTTGAAATTTAAATGTTTCCTCCCTCCAACCACTCTGGTAAATCTCACTGCAATTTCCCCCTGGTACCATTACATCCTTCATGAAGTGCAGCTTTTGTTAATTTGTAGAGACTCATGCTCTGTGTTCGTGTGTATGTGATGTTATCCAGGCACCTTGGTTATCTGTTCAACTGGACCTGAAACATCTGTTTTCTCTCCACAGATGCTGCCAGAGCTTTTCCAGCAATTTCTGTTTGTGTTTATTTTGATTCCGATGTATTTGATACCTCTTAAGCTGCAGGGTATTGAAAACCAGCACTATTGTTTCAGGGGTGAGTACTTTTGACTGTTTATCTACAATTTAGAGCTTTTAAGTGCTGTTGTATCAATTCGAGCTGGAGGAGAAGCTGCTGGGTTTAAAACTCCAAGGACATTGCTGCATTTTGGAAAGGCAAATCAAGGCAGAACTTGTACAGCTAATGGTAGGGTCCTCGTGGGTGTTGCCAAACAAAGAGACCTTGGAGTGCAGGTTCATAGTTCCTAGAAAGTGGAGTCACAGGTAGACAGGGTAGCAAAGAAGGTGTTTACTCCTTTATTGGTCAGTCCACTGAGTATAGGAGTTGGGAGGGTCATGTTGCGGCTGTACAGGACATTGGTGAGGCCACTTTTTGGAATACTGCGTTCAGTTCTGGTCTCCCTGCTGTAGGAAAGATGTTGTGAAACTTGAAAGGGTGCAGAAATAGTTTACAAGGATATTTCTGGTGATGGAAGGTCTGAGCCATAGGGACAGGCTGAAGGAGCTGGGGCTATTTTCCCTGGAGCTTCGGAGGCTGAGGGGTGACGTTATAGAAGTTTATAAAATCCCGAGGGTCATGGATAGGGTGAATAGCCAAGGTCTTTTTCCCAGGGTAGGGGAGTCCCAAACTAGGGGACATAGGTTTAAGGTGAGAGGGGAATGATTTAAAAGGGACCGAGGGTCAATTTTTTCACGCAGAGAGTGGTACATGTATGGAACGAGCTGCTACAGGAAGTGGTGAAGGCTGGTACAATTACAACATTTAAAAGGCAGCTGGATGGGTACATGAATATCATAGAATCCTTACAGTGTGGAAACAGGCCATTAGACCCAACAAGTCCACACCGCCCTTCCGAAGAGCATCCCACCCAGGCCCAATTCCCTACCCCTGCATTTCCCATGTCTAACCCACCTAACCTAATCATTCCCGGACACCGTGGGCAGTTTAGCATAGCCAATCCACTTACCCTGCACACTTTTGAACTGTGGGAGGAAACCGGAGCAACCGGAGGATAAACACACAGACTTGGGGAGAACATGCAAAGTCCACACAGACAGTCGCCCGAGGGTGGAATCGAACCCGGGTCACTGGCGCTGTGAGGCAACAGTGCTAACCATGAGAAGAATATGGGTCAAACGCTGGCAAACGGGACTAGATTAATTTCTGATATCCGGTCAGCATGGACGGGTTGGACCAAAGGGTCTGTTTCCGAGCTGTACAACTCTATGACTCTTGCAAAACGCCAGTTGCCTGGAAGAAGATAAACTGCTGTAGTTCATGAGATGAAGTTGTTCCCATAATCCTATTAAGTAAGGAGTTACAAGTCAGTATCAGCTTCACAAAAATGATCAAATTCATTCAGCTCAATTTCACAATCTACCCTTGTGTGGAGTTTTTGGTTGGTCTGCTGAGCTGACTGGTTTTCTTCAAATGTTTCGTCTCCCTTCTAGGTGACATCTTCAGTGCTGTTTAGCTTCTGTTGAAGCACTGTTGTTCTGTCCCGCTCTGAATTTATATGGTGCGGTCTGTCATGGTGGGTAGTCCTGTTTCCAGTTTTGTACTGTAGTGGGATGTAAATGGGGTTTATTTCAACATGTTTGTTAATTACATTGGGTGGTTGAAAACCAGGCTTCCAGGAATTCTCGTGCTTGTCTTCATTTCGTTTGTCCTCGTACTGTAACTTTGTCTCAGTTAAATTGATGTCCTTCTATGTCAGAGTGCGAGGGAGAGTTAGTCGTGCCGTTTGCTGCAAGTTGGCGTTTATGTATCCTGGTGGCGAGTTCCTGCCCATCTGTCCTATGTAGTGTTTCTCGCAGTTGCTGCATGGTATTTTGTGTATCACATTTGTCCTGCTCATTGTGGGTATGGGGTCTTTCATCTTTGAGAGTAACTGCTGTTGGTTGTGTGTTATCGTTATTCCAAGAGGTCTCAGAGGTCTTGTAGTCAGTTCCGATGTGTTTCGAATATAGGGTAGGGTGGCCAGTACATTGGGGCATACAGTGTCTTCTTGGTGTTGTTTATTTGCCAGGCATTGGCGGATGAAGCTGTTAGGATAGCCATTGTTCATGAAGACTTTGTATAGGTGTTCCTCTTTGTTTTTGCGCAGCTCTGGGGTGTTGCAATGTGTTATTACTTGTTTAGACAGAGTCTTGACACAGCTCTGTTTGTGGACGCTGGGGTGGTTACTGTTGTAATTCAGGATTCAGTCTCTGTGTGTGTGGTCTTTCTGTATACGCTGGTAAGGAATTCACTGTTGTTCGTTCGTTCCACCATTATGTCTAGAAACGGGCGTTGATTGTTGTTCTCTTCTTCCCTGGTGAACTTGATCCCGGTGAATATGCTGTTAATAAGGGTGGTGTGTTTCTAACTTTGCTCATTTAATGATCACGAAAGTATCGTCCACGTATCTAACCCATAGTTTAGGCTGGATCTGGGGGAGGACTGTGCGTTCAAGTCTTTGCATATCAGCTTCCACGATGAGACCTGAGATGGGTGAACCCACGGTTGTCACATTAATTTGCTCATATACCTGGCCGTTGAAGACAAAGTGCGTGGTAAGGCATAGGTCTAGTAATTTTAGCATCTTGGCCTTGCTGATGGTTTCATTGGAGGTTTGCGTTTTCGGATTGTTTCGATTTTTTTCACTCAGCACAGGATTTCCTGGATAACATCAGAAACATAAAAATCGACAAGGAGGAAATGATGGTCTTCTTCGACGCTACAGCATTAGTCATCCCCTATCGACATGACACCAGCAAAGGAGACACGGGCCACATTACCGGACAATCCGAAAACACAAACCTCCAATGTAACCATCAGCAAGGACAACACGCTAAAATTATTAGACCTATGCCTTACCACGTACTTGGTCTTCAACAGCCAGGTATATGAACAAATTAATGGGACAACCATGGGTTCACCCATCTCAGGTCTCTTAGCGGAAGCTGTTATGCAAAGACTTGAACGCACAGCCCTGCACCACATCCAGCCTAAACTATGCATTAGATATGTGGACGATACTTTTGTGATCATTAAGTGAGCAAAGTTAGAAGAAACACACCACCTTATCAACAGCATATTCACCGGGATCAAATTCACCAGGGAAGAAGAGAACAACAATCAACTCCCGTTTCCAGACATAATGGTGGAACGAACGAACAACAGTGAATTCCTTACCAGCGTATACAGAAAGACTACACACACAGAGACCCAATCCTGAATTACAACAGTAACCACCCCAGCATCCACAAACAGAGCTGTGTCCAGACTCTGTTTAAACGAGCGATAACACACTGCAGCACCTCAGAGCTGTGCCTAAACAAAAAGGAACACCTGTACAAAGTCTTTACAAACAATGGCTATCTGCCGATGCCTGGCCAATAAACAACACCAAGAAGACACTGTATGCCCCAATATACTGGCCTCCCTACCCTATATTCGAAACACAGTGGAACTGACTATGAGACCTCTGCGACCTCTTGGAATAATGATAACGCACAAACCAACACCCACACTTCACCAGCTACTCTGAAAGACGAAAGACCCCATGCCCACAATGAGCAGGACAAACGTGATACACAAAATACCATGCAGCAACTGCGAGAAACACTACAAAGGACAGACGGGCATGAAACTCACCACGAAGATACATGAACACCAACTCACAGCAAACGGCACGACTAACTCTCCCTCGTTCCTATTCACTCTGATATAGAAGGACATCAGTTTAAGTGGCACAAGGTTACAGTACTAGGACAAGCAAAACAAAGACAAGCACGAGAATTCCTGGAGGCTTGGTTTTCAACCACCAGTGTGATAAACAAACATATTGAAATAGACCCCATCTGCATACCACGAGAGTGCAAAACCAGAAACAGGACTACCCACCATGACAAACTGGACCATATAAATTCAGAGCAGGGCAAAACAACAGTGCTTCAACTGAGGCTACACAGCACTGAAGACGTCACTTAAAAGAGAGACAAAACATTTGCAAGAAAACCAGTCAGCTCGGTGGACCACCCAAGAACTCCAAACACGACCGAAGCTACAAATCTTTGCTGCAACATTAAACTGCCTTTGTGTTTTCGTGGGTTCTATCTCACTCCCTTTTTTATCCATTTCAAATCAATTTCACAGAAGGGGTTTAGAAGGAGAGGATTTTGAACATGGAAGGAAAAAGCACCGCTCACAGCAGGGAGAAACTGTACACGTGTTCTGTGTGTGGATGTGGTTTCGGCCAATCATCTGCCTTGTTGAGACACAGACACAGTCACACAGTGGAGAAACCGTGGAAATGTGGTGACTGTGGGAAAGGATACAGATCGCCGTCTGATTTGGAAATTCACCAACGCAGTCATTCTGGGGAGAGGCCGTTCACTTGCTGCGAGTGTGGAAAGGGATTCTCTCGGTCTTCCAACCTGCTGACCCACCAGCGAGTTCATGTTAATGAGAGGCCTTTTAAATGCTGTGACTGCGGGAAGTCTTACAAAAGTTCTGGGGAACTGATGTGCCACGAACGCGTCCACACTGAGGAGAGACCTTTCAAATGCCCAGATTGCAGAAAAGCCTTCAAAAGTTCCGGGGAACTGATGTCCCATCAACGTGTTCACACCGACGAGAAACCGTTCAGGTGCTCTCAGTGCGGGACTGGCTTCAGGCAAGCATCTCAATTGACTGTACACCAGAGAGTTCACACTGGAGAGAGGCCATTCACCTGCTCGCAGTGTGGGAAGGGATTCACTCAGTCGACTGACCTGCTGACTCACCAGCGGATTCACACCGGGGAGAAGCCATTCACCTGCCCGCAGTGCGGGAAGGGATTCACTCAGTCGTCCAACCTACTGACACATCGGCGGGTTCACACTGGGGAGAGGCCGTTCACCTGCTCCAGGTGCGGGAGGGGATTCACAACCTCTTCCACCCTGCTGAGACACCAGCGGATTCACAGTGGGGACAGGCCATTCTCCTGCTCGTTGTGCGAGAAGAAATTCACTCAGTCTTCCAGCCTGGTAAGACACCAGCGGATTCACAAGTGACTACAGTGATTAACTTCTACTGTTAACTTTAAAGTAAATCACATGCAGGACTGAAACATTTTCACAGGACCTCTGCTAATGTTATAGGGCTAATATTCTGGAAAAATCAAATAAATTATATGGTATAAAGACAGTGTGAATATTTTCAATGTCTCTAAAACAAGTTAGTTTTTTTTGCTTAAGTTTAATGCTTTCTGAACCTTCTATAGATGGTCGGTCATCCCTTTCGATTTTTTCTTGATGGCAGGAATATGCTCATCTGAAATATCTGCGACTGGGTCTCCATTGATCTATCCCTAGAATGCCTGCTCACTTCACCTCTTTCAGCTTCTATGCCCATATTGAGTTCTTTATTGAGATTCAAAACACTAGTTTCAGATCCAATGTTCTCCTCTTCAACAGCATGTGGAATTCAATCTTGTTGTGGTGACTGTGAGCCAGGGTTGCCTTTCTTCAATACATCCTGATCAGTGGTGTGACCCTTTGATCTTTTACATATAAGTTCTGTGTCTGATACTATCTCTCTCACTAACACCTGAAGAAGGCATAGAAAGCTTGTGTTTTCAAATAAACCTGTTGCACTCTAACCTGATGTGGTGTGATTACTGACCTTGTCCACCCCCGTCCTACAACAGCACCTCCACATCATTCCATAGTGTGGAAGCAGGCCATTCGGCCCATTCGAGTCCATACTGACCCTCCGAAGAGCATCCCATCCAGACCCACCCTCCCCAACCCACCATTCCTCATCTCCACCCAAACCGATTCTACATCCTGATCTCCTGTAACAAGATCTTCTCTAAGTATGGCACAAATGCCAACCCTTAGTGCTCTCCATTGCACCTTTTATCTATCTTGCAGTCAGCGGCGTTTGGCCGGTAAGCTGACAGGCTGGGTTGGGCGGCAAGCTTACGTGAACACTCGGCATGGGTCTCAAGCACAGACACGGAATTTCCGGTTCCTCCGTTTTCTCCAAACGGTGATGGGGAGGCAGCTGCCGTCCTCCTTCAGGCCCAAGGTTAGCGGCCGCCATCTTTTTTGGAGGCGGTGCTGTGAAAGTGCGCATGCGCTGTCCTGCCACTTGTAGGAGGATGGGCAACAAAAGGGAAGGATCTGGATGAGGGACAGGACAGGAGATGGTCAATGTCAAATATGACCTGGAGTCATTGGCAATGGTGATGCTAATGGTGTTGTCAAGAAACAAATCATTGGTTCACACTGGGTGTTTATGCCAGGAGAATGAACATAACTGCCTCAAAGCATAACTAAGGTAAAAGCATAGCAACATTAAAATGGGAGCAGGAGTAGGCTATTTGGACCTTTGAGCCTCCTTTAGCATTCATTATGATCATGGCAGATCAGCTAACTCAACAGCCTGTCCCCACTTTCCCCAACAACCTTTGATCCATAACGGTTCGGTACGGCAACTGCTCTGCCCAGGAGTGTAAGAAATTACAGATGGTTGCATGCACAGCCCAGACCATCACGGAAGCCCACTTCCCATCTACGGACTCCATGTACACTTCTTATTGACGCAGAAAGCTGCCAACATCAACAAAGACCCCTCCCACCCTGGTAATACACTCTTCCAACCTCTTCCGTCAGGCAGAAGATACAGAAGCTTGAACACATGTACCAACAGGTTCAAGAACAGCTTCTTCCCTGCTGTTATTAGACTGCTGAATGGATCTCTCTAATTTCAATCTAACATTGACCTTGCTTTTATGTACCTCCTGTGCAGTCATAACCTTGTATGCCTCTGTCTAAACAGCCTATGATCTGTGTGTCCTTGTGCGTTATGATTTCACTGTACTGCTTGCAAAACAAAACTTTTCACTGTACTTAGGTACATGTGACAAAATAAATCAAATCAAAAGATCCCTTTAGCCCCTTCTTGAAAACATAGAATGTTTTGGCTCAATAGCTTTCTGTGGGTGAAGTAGTTTCTCAGAGAGAGATATAGAATGACATGTAGCAAAACAATAAATAAATGAAAGTGGGAGACAGAGTTCACACATTAAAATGTGTCGAATATGATTTTGAGTCAGGAAGGCAATGAAGTGCCGAATTGGAAGATCAGGCATGGTTCCTCCAGCCTAACAATGCTGCAGACCGAGTGCAGAAATGTCATTTGCGAGAGTAAGTTGGTGAATTTATTCAGTTATGCAGTACAGAAGCGGTCCTTCAGCCCATCCAGTCTGTATAGCCAAAAATACATTATTGTGTACACTAGACCCACTTTCCCACACTAAGCCCATAGCCTCGAAAGTTATGACACTTCGATTGTTCATCCAAGTACCTTTTAAAGCTTGTGAGTTTACTTGTCTCCACTACCCTCCCTGGCAGTGCCTTCCACACTCCCACCACCCTGGGTTAAAATTATTTTCTTCAAATCCTGCTAAACCTCCTACGTTTCACATTAAGATTGTGCCTCTTTGGTCTGGACCCTTCATTTAAGAAGGCATGCAAACGGAAAGTTCAGAGTTGTGCTTGTGGACTCGGTGGAGACGTTTACGCAGTTTAGAGGAGACTGCACTGTGATCAATAGAAAAGCAAGTGAATTGCTGGTTCACTTGGAAGGCGTTTGGTGCTTTGAATGCTGAGGAGAAAGGAGGTTGAAGGGAATGTGCTACACCTGCTGCAATTACTTGAAAAGGTGCAATGGGTGGGGGCAGGGGCAAGGTATTGGGGTGATGGAGGATGAAGTGGTTGCTTCAGAGTGTTGGTAAAGGAGACGAATGCTGTTTGGTCTCACTACTTGAGGCATACACTTGAATTGGAAGCAGTCCACAGAAGGTTCACTAGGCTGACTCTAGTGTGTAGGAGTTGGGGTCTAAGGAAAGGTGGGGCTGATACCCAGTGGTGTTTAGGACAAGGGGGCGTGATCTCATCAAATACCTGGGGGGGCCTGACTGGGTAGTTGCTGAGGCAATATTTCCTCCTTTCTCAGAATTTAGACCAACGGACTCAGTTTTAGCACAGGTAAGGAGGTAACTTAGCAATGTCTTCCACAGAGAGCAGTGAAGGCTGGATCACTTCTATAGGGATTGTCCTTTAGACCACCCTTCCCCACTCAATAGTCAGCAGGGACTGCCATAGTGTTAAGGGATCAGATGGAGAGGAATTTGTTAAGCATGTACAAGAAAATTTTCTTATTCAGTGTGTGGATGTACTTATTAGAGAAGGAACAAAACTTGACATTCTCTTGAGAAATAAGGCAGGGCAAGTGCCTGAGGTGTTAGTGGGGACCACTTTAGGGCCAGTGGCCATAATTCTATTAGTTTTAAAATAGTTATGGAAAACAATAGACCTAATCTAAAGTTAATGTTCTAAATTGAAGGAAGGACATTGTTGACGGTATTAGGCAAGAACTTTCAAAAGTTGATTGGGGATGATATTCGCAGGTAAAGGGACAACTGGAAAGTGGGAAACCTTCAAAAATGAAATAATGACAGTCCGGACACAGTATGTTCCTGTTAGGGTAAAGAGCAAGGCTGGTGGGTGTAAGGCATGCTGGATGGCAAGAAAGAGAAGGAAGCATATGTCAGGTATAGACATCAGGGTTTGAGTGAATCCCGAGAGAATAAGGGCAGTAGGAGTATACTTAAAATGGAAATCAGGAGGGCAAAAGGCGACATGACATAGCTTTGGCAAATAGGGTTAAGGAGAATCCAAAGGGTCTCTACAAACACATTAAGACAAAAGAAAAACTAGACAGAGAATAAGGCCCCTTAAAGATCAGCAATGTGTGGAACCGGAGGAGACACCAAACAGGTACTTTGTATCAATGTTTACTATGGAGAAGGATATGGAATTTGGGGAACATCAGGACATCTTAAAAGGCATAAAAGTGGATAATCCCTAGGACCTGATCAGGTGTACCCTAGAACTCTGTGGGAAGCTACGGAAGGGATTGCTGGGCCCCTTGCTGAGATATTTGTATCATCAAAAGCCACCCGTGAGGTGTTGGAAGGCTGGAGGTTGGCTAATGTGGTACTATTATTTAAGAAAGTTGATAAGGAAAAGCCAGGGAGCTATAGTCCAGTGAGTCTGACAACAATGGTGGGCACGTTTTTGGAGGGCTTCTGAGGATCAGAATTTACATGTATTTGGAAAGGCAAGGACTGATTAGGGATAGTCAGCATTGACTTTGTGCGTGGGAAATCGTGTCCCACGAACTTGATTGAGAGTTTTGAAGAAGTGGCGAAGAGGATTGATGAAGGCAGAGCAGTGGACATTGTCTATAATGGACTTAAGTAAGGCATTCAACAAGGTTCCATGCGATAGACTGGGTAACAAGGTTAGATCACATGGAAAACAGGGAGAACTAGCCATTTGCATACAAAATCGACTCAAAGGTAGGTGACAGAGGATGATTTTGGAGGCCTGTGACCAGCAGTGTGTCGCAAGGATCGGTGCTGTGTCCACTGCTTTTTGTCATTTATATAAATGATTTGTATGTGAATATAGGAGGTGTGGTTAGTAAGTTTGCACATGACACCAAAATTGTGGTGTTGTGTGGACAGCGACAAAGGTTACCTCGGAGTACAACAAGACCTTGATCAGATGGGGCTGTGGAGTGACAGATGGAATTTGATCTTACAAGAACTTTCAAAAGTTAATTGGGGATGATATTCGCAGGTAAAGGGACAACTGGAAAGTGTGAAGCCTTCAAAAATGAGATAATGACAGTCCAGACAGTGTATGTTCCTGTTAGGGTGAAGGGCAAGGCTGGTGGGGTAAGGCATGCTGGATGGCAAGAAAGAGATCTAGGTAAATGTGAGGTGCTACATTTTGGTAAGGCATATCAGGGCAGGATTTATGCATTAAATGGTGTTGCCAAACAAATAGACCTTGGAGTGCAGGTTCATAGTTCCTCGAAATTGGAGTCACATGTAGACAGGGTAGTGAAGAAGGCATTTGGTATGCTTGCCGTTATTGGTCAGTGCATTGATTATTGGAGTTGGGAGGTCATGTTGTGGCTGTACAGGACATTGGTCAGGCCACTTTTGGAATACTGCATTCAATTTTGGCCTCCTGCTATAGGAAAGATATTGTTACACTTGGAAAGGTTCAGAAAATATTTACAAGCATGTTGCCAGGGTTGGAGGGTTTGTGCTATAGGGAGATGCTGAAAAGTTTGGGACTTTTTTTACCTGGTGCATCGGAGGCTGAGGGGTGACCTTAATAGAGATTTATAAAATCATGCTGGGCATGGATAGGTGAATGATCAAAGTCTTTTCCCCAAGGGTAGGGGAGTCCAAAACTAGAGGGCATAGGTTTAAGTTGAGAGGGGAAAGGTTTAAAAGGAACCAAATAGGGAAACCTTTTCATGCAGAGGGTGGTGCGAGTACGGAATGCACCGCCGGAGGAATTAGCGGAGACCAGATATCCTAACTTAATCTAGTCCGATTTGCCAGCATTTGGTCCATGTCCCTCTAAATCCTTCCTATTCATATACCCATCCAGATGCCTTTTAAATATTGTCATTGTAGCAGCCTCCACCACTTCCTCTGGCAGCTCATTCCGTACACACACCACCCTCTGTGTGAAAAAGTTTCCCCACTTGGCTCCTTTTAAATCTTTCCCCTCTCACCTCAAACCTGTGCCCTCGAGGTTTGGACTCCCCTACCCTAGGAAAAGGTCCGTGGCTGTTCACCCTATCCATGCTCTTACACCCAGGGCTGATATGTGGTGACAGTGTAAGAAATGTGTTCCACCCTCCTCCTCCTGCATGGCTCAGAGATCCTAGACAATGAACAGAAGCTCCTTTATAATTGTTTAGAGTCTGGGAGAACAATGGCAAATGCCAGATACACACTGTGAGGTCAGAGATTGGTGTTTAAACTGCTCCTGACTAGAAGTGAAATGACAGATTAATGTTTCCACTGTAAAAATGACCATGATCATTCTGATCTGAGCATTTCAAATGTTTGTGCAACAAAGCTGTGTCAATCATTTGGAAGACAATCACAAGACGTTGCATTTGTCTAGAATCTTTCACATAGTCCAGTATTA